TGCTTGCTTTCCCTTCTCCCTACCTAGGTTTCTCCATCTTCTGCTTCTTTTCCCTTGTTTTCGCGGGACTTTCATTCTTCTTACTACTGGTCCGAACAACTAACTGGTGACACAACATTTAAAGAACCTATATGCACCGCAGACAAATCATACTACGACTTCAAATTAAATCAACATCCAATTGCCCGTCTGGTATACCAAAGCCATAGCAGGCGAGTGGGTGCACTTACTTTGTCGTAATCAACTAAAGACCTGAAGCCGTTCTGCAAGACTTAGGAGCGAATATTGAGAAATCAATTTATTTGCGCTGTCTCGTAAAATGATACTGGATATTCAGGCCGTTCAAGGGAAATTCTATGGGAAATCGGAGATGATGCATAGCTGCGCATTTAATTTCGGAGAGACAGAGCTCTTTAAAATTTGGGGAAATTCGAGACTGGTTATTGCTCCTCCAAATTGTCCTGCTAGAGGTTCCACCAGGCTAACTTTGAATTTAATCATTCCTCGAAATTTCTTGAGTGTTGGCACGATAAGTTGATCAGTCACTTGGGTCAATTTATGCACTTTGTAACAGTTTCTACCTATAACATGTAGTTCAGTGATGTGGAAAAAGTCGCTGTCTGCTCTGGGTTAGATTAAGGCGTGATCATTTTGTTTAAAAATATGTTAGGAGCTAGGCAAGTTACTCCTCTCTTTAAGTAGAAACTATATGTATATCATTATATATGATCTATGTAGTATGTATCACTGTTCGGCACAGGAGGTAAGTTTATATTACTGGAAAAAATGTTACCTCCGTTAGTCATCTTAAAAACGCTAACCATGGTTTATTAGCTTAACATGTTAAATCTTTTCAGTCAACAGCTTAAGAGTTCTCAATTCCTCTACACTGATGCTCGTATTTTCTAAACTTTCACTCATCTTCCCGTTCCCTGCATGAACAGTATAATCTCTATTAGGATACAAATGTTCACAACTTTGCTTCAGGTTTTAAAGTGTCATCATCAATATCAACATAGGACCAGGCATTACTGCCTAACGGTCCAAGTTGCCACAGCTCATATCAGTACATCGAGTAGAAAGGCAGTGAGGTTCAAGATGAAGATTAAAAAATGCAGTCAGAAGAAATATGAAGTGCTAAAATACGGTATAGCGTCGTTAAGATGAGGATAATGTATGTATGCACCTTTGACATCGGTTCTCAGCTATATCACCTAGACTCTCCAACCACTGGTTCCTCTTGTCCCGTGGACCCTAACCAACTAGTCTGCATCGCCCCACATGGTTCAAACCAACAGTCAAAGACTTCAGACATCGGTGCCATATTTTAGTCTGACCACGTCGGGCCTTTTTCCAGCCTAGACCTATTTCGGCCAACATTGTGTGACAAGGCAATTGGCGACTAGGCATACGTAACACGTCTCCCAGCCATCTCAGTCGATGAAGGTTCATAACCATGTCAACTGACTTACCTCTACTCCCTAAAACTCCACACCTTACTTCTGTGTTACTCAAGGGGTGACACCACAGAATAGGGCCTATACTACGAAGGCAACGGTGGTCAAACACCTAAAGCCTTCTCATGTCTTCCACTTTCAATAGCTATGTTTCACAGCCATACAGTAGGATAGAGCGGACTGCTGCTCAGTACACGCAACCCTTAATAAACAATCGGATATCATGCGGAACCACAGGTGGCGTAAGTTAGCAAAAGCCAGCCGAGCCTTTTGTACCCATGCAGAGATTTCATCGGCCACTGAGCCTCCAGTGTTGATCCTACTTCCCAGGTAAGTAAAGTAGCCGACACAATCAACCACTACACTGTATTGTTAGCCGAGGGACCGTTGGAGACCAATCCTAAAGCAACAAATTGCATTTGGGCGGTGAGAAACGCATCCCAAACATTCTCAAGTTGCCACTCAAAGTGTTCAGAAGACTCTGCATCTTCTCAGCGTCTTCACCAAACAGGACTATGTCATCTGCATATTCTAGGTCTAACGAAAATTCTCTTGTGATTAGGTCAATGTCTGTGTAATTAGGTGACGAGTTAGAAACCTCCATAAGCATATCTATGATAAAATTAAATATGAATGAAGATAGTGGACACCACTCGATGAGCATAGCTCCCTGGACATCTCACCATAGGCTCGAACACGGCCACAAGTGTTCGAGTAGACAGCCTTCACCAAGGTGATGTATTTACTCGGCACGCCTTTCAGTGAGAGACACTCACAGACTTCTCAATCAACGGAGTTAAATCCTGCCTTCAGGTCGAAAAATGCAGCTAGTGTTGGGCGTCGGCAAGTGTAGTGCCAAGCGCCGCAGAGCCAACAAGGTGAGGGCGGAGTTTTTTGCGTTTCTTGTGAGGTGTCAACTGTAAATGGCAAGTAGAATGTATTAGATGTAGACGAGCCGGAATGAAAAGAAGAGGGATACTTTGATGACTGGGTTCACCAGATTGAACCAACGTGGCATCATTACGAAGAGTTCGCAACCGCTGTAATTTATCCGCTATTTCATTAAGAGTTAACATAGAATCTTGGTCTAAGCGACTGAGCAACCGGGTGCGAATATCGAAGAATTTCGGAAAATGGAGACTGGTATATGAGGATTAATGATTTGAATTAATCATCAGACAGTGACTTCAGGCGAAATCTTTCACATTCTCGATTAACAACTCTAACATGTGTTCGGAAATCACTATGATCATTCGTTGTTAACTTTATACATCGGAAGCGGATATTGGAGAGAGATAAATGGTCACCAAAATGTTGGCTTCGTGATTTGGTTGTTTCGTCAAGTGTGCGTTCGTGTGGGTTCTGTGGTAGCATGAGATTGCAGTAGGTATCAAGTTCTGCTGGAGTGAAAGGCGGAATTTCCAACCATCATCCTGACCAGCAAAATCAATTTTAAAAATTTCTTCAGAACGTCTATACCAAGTATTAAACGTAACATTGGTCTCTGGATCATAGAGAAAACTGGTGATGCTATTAACCAACCTGTCGATAGAGGGAACCAAACTGGGAGCAGGCGAAGAGGATGGTGATGCAGCAGCAGCAATCTTGTTACCAGCCAAAATTTCAATAAGCTTGAATTGCTGTTCTAACGTATATTCAATTTTCGAATAGTCCGTTGCCAGAAAATCAGCCCCGTCGCCACCGTTATGATGCGGAGTTGTGTGAACAAACGGAAATACTTAACGGTTGGTAGTTAAAGGTTGAGACGATGCAACCCGAGTGATTCGCAAAGAGAAATCAAAAGACTGGAAACCAGATGAAATTATAGTATCTTGGACTGAAGTGTTTATGAGTAAAAACTGAACATATTCATCGAGTTTACAATAACTGAGACAAGGAATTATTAGCACATTTAAAGAGGCAGACGCCAATCAGAACAGTAGCGGGTCCTGCGAAATATGACCCATGCTCTGGAAAAGAGAGCAAATAAACAGTTCAAATATATACATAACTGTAAGTGTGAAGTATGAGGGATACTTCCATCCCTAACACCTTTACATTTCAGCTGGCAAACAGTCGTACTATCATAAGTGGTATTCAATCTATAAACGCGTGTTGTTAGAAATAAACTTAAATATTACCTGACTTCTTAAGTATTGGTTAGTACCTGGTTAGTTAAGAGTACGCATACGACATTGCCCTGTTAGGCTATAATGCTAACAAAATACGGAGTTTTCTAAATGCAGTTAGCTGAAATACTAGTACGTTTGCTATGGGTTTTCCACCTGGTAAACGTAAGGTGATGTTTAAGCAACGGTCTGCACCAGATCCCAGTTTAAGGACAAGGAGTAAATTGGTGGAACGTGTCGACCGCTTCACTTGCTTGTAAAGCTGCATCAGCCCAAATAAGTTCGTTTTGATGAAATGTCGGTTTGGATTTAAAAGGCCAGTAAGACATTTTCCAGACAATGCACCAACTAGACATCCGACTACTTGTCGAAAAAGTATGCTGCACAACAGTTTGTTCTGTCTCCTTGTGCAGCTGTGAGATGACGATTAAAGGTAAATGATGTGAAGAGATAACTGGTTCTTGGTCATAAGTACTATCGTCGCATTACTGATTTGTGATAAGATTACCGTGTTGACAGTGCTTAGGTTGGGCTCGACGAACTTGGCAGGAAGACAATCTATTCAATAAGGTTATGAACTTGCATCAACTTAAGCTAATTGGACATGTATTGGGTATATGAACCAGCACCTGTTGTTAATCAAATTTGGGCTCGTTAAAATGAATACTGAAGGTAACCGGGTCTAGGTGTGACATCAGTCTACAAATTCGCTGATTGTAAGTTGCTTAATCAGGGTCATTCGAATCAAATCAAAACAAACCCTGTAACTTTGTACACTTTCGTGCCGTGAGCAATAAGCCACACCAGTCGTGTGAGGACGAATTATGCTATTTGACTCCGTATACTGCGGTAGGTGGAGCGTGGTTTGAAAGTGTGACTTCCTAGTTAAAAATCAGCTACGTAAACCAATGAACCACAGCTGCAGGATTGGGGTCGTTGAGACGACAGAAATCAATGATTGGAGACTGGGATATGACTCAGGTGTATACCTTCATGTTCATCTTTTAATTCTGTAATATTTCCATTGGGCTTAATCCATTTGCTTCATTCTTTGGTTTGCTTTTGCGTACTTCAGTGTAGTTTTTTTGTGAGCCTCTGCTAAGTTTACCAGTTTTGTGCTACGATTTATATTTCTCTATCCGTCTACCCAACGAACATAGTGTTCATCACTAGTAATACAAGTTCACGTTAGTTCCATGCTGGTGAGATGGATCAGTATGCTTAATTTCCAGTGTTTTGGACTAGGTAAAGCATGCTGTTGTACTCATTTGTAAGGCTTACCTGTAGTCATTATCTTGAACTTGAAACATTCTTGATATTTCACAATGGTGTGTCTGTGATGTTTTCAGTTTTATTGAGAATCTGTCTATATTTCGATGTTTTCTGAATATTTTCCCTTCTAGAATGAATTAAGATGGAGAGTACTACATGGTCTTTTTGTGTGCCAATTTATCCAATTAATTTTACTCAGATAACACGCTGTTTGCTTCAGTACGTTACCTCCAATGTTAATAAGTTTATTCCTGACCTGCAGGGTGTTCTTGTGGACTATGACTCAAAAACTTTACAGATTATGACGGAGGTTGATCATTCTGACCCTAATATTCCTACTGGTTACACCTGTGGACTTTATCTTATTCATCCTGAGTTGAATTATCTTCTTATACATGCCAAGGTAGATGTCAGCCTTTTTCGTCCACATTTGGGCTTGGATATGGATGCTGTTGTTTCAATGGTCCGACCACAGTTTATCCTTTGTCGAACAGAAATTTCTAATGTAATGGTTAGTATTCCTCTCCTATCTACTGAGTCAGGCAAAAAAGAAGAAGAATTCAGCCCATCTATGTTAAAGCCTTTCGATAGAATAAAAGTTCGACTAACTCAAGTTGATCATAATTTTGGGTCATCTGTTTTACAAGGTGAATTCATTGAATGCCTTTCTGAACCCCCGTCAAAATATTCTAAGAAACAACGAAACAAGCAGGTACACTCAAGTGATAACGACTCACTGAGTGTAAAATCTGTGATAAAGACATCCGAAAGTGATGTACGTTCTGAAGTTCCTACGTCAGCCGATGTAGGCTTGTCTAGTGCAGTTCTTTCCCCAAATAGTTCATGTAGCCCTATTACACAGAAATCTAAAAAACGCAAAAGGCAAAAGGTTGAAATCCCGTCACCGAAAGCATTTCAAACACCGGAACCAAAATCTACCACCAATTTTAATAATGACTTATCAGTTCTATCAAAATCTTCGAAATCTCCTAATAAAATATTACACGAAGAAGATTCATCATTTTCTGGAATCCATGATGCCAAGGACAATTCTGATTTTGATGGGGTTAATCCTGGTTTACTCAGTGCAGCCTTGTTGAAATGTGGAAAGAAATACATCTCGAAGCATCGACTTTTATCTTATGTACCTATAAAAGAGGAACCAACGTGATTGCTTTTAAAGGGAAACATTGAATATTTACGCAAATAATTTTTATATTCTCATATTTTTGAGTGTACTGTACGAATGATAAAGCTGTATATAATGTGTTCCTTGTATAAAATTATTCATAAGAATTATTTCAGCTTTTTACTTTGATGATCGAAATTAGGCCATACTGGAATCGGTTTGGTAATTTGTGAAATACTTTACTGCTGTAAATATGCTTAGTTATTAGCATACTTACTGATTAGCTGGTAACCATGAGTGTTTTTGTTATGGTAAATAGTCGTATGTTGGTTTTGTGTACACAATGATTTCATATCCTAGTTGTATGGGCTTTTAATCATTTAAGCATTGTCTTCGTAGGAATTCGGCAAGTTGGAGCGACTGATTGTACAAAAAATTGAGAAATTCCCTACAATTAATCATGAAACTCTTAACCTGAAGCGAACTAATTTCGTACGATTATATATATATATATATATATATATATATATATATATATATATATATATATATATATATAATTCTAGTGTCATTTGGATACTCAGTAGTTTTAATTCATTTAAATTTCTAGATATTGCTTGAAACATCAGTCAAAGCTCTTACTTTGTGGTTTTCGAAGTTAGATCGATTAGAATAACTGATTCATGTTCCAACCCACGTACTTGCTAGTGAAGAAATAAAGTTACGGATTGTTGATTCGCTCGGTGTAGGAAAGACGTTCGGAGCACCATATTGCTTCTTTAAATGCTTCAAAACAATTATAATCAGCGTAGAACCTCGCACACAACCGCATCAGTTCAAGTTGTCATACTTCACAGTAGTATACAATCACAGGCAGATAAAATAAAAGTGACATCAAAGTAGACAAAGTTTTGAATTCCATGAGAAACCGTCAATTTTACTACAGAAAGCAAAACGTTCAGACATGGTCATATTGGCAGGTGACTTTAACGCTCAAGTAGGAAAGCTGAACCAATCGAAAAGGCATCTTTGGGGTATTTACAGAATCCCATGCCTACGGAACGACAACGGTGGTCGTCTGTTGCAATTCTGTTCCGGTAATCACTTGTTTCTGTCCAGCACTAATTTTAGGCATAAGGAGAGATATTGTCTCACTTGGCTACTACCTAGTTTAAACCAACGATGAACATAGATAGATTAAATTGCTATAAGGCCCTTTGTGAAGTACCATTTTGTACTCCGATTATGTGCTGGTACGGGCTCTTTTATGTATGCGCCTTACTGGTTACAGGAAATAGGCTATAGTAAGGCCTGTCTAAGATCGACTGGAAGACGAGGACACCAAATACGTACTTTGGGAGGTGTTAGTTAAGCATTTATCTGAACACGACAGCAATACTCATCCTGAGGAAACCTGGAATGATATTAAATCTAGTGTAGACACAGTGGTAAATATAGTTAGCAACATACACCCGAAGGTTAACAGACATTATCGCATTTCCATGACATCATCCTAACTAATTGATGCGAGAAGACTGATTCCAGCTGGCTCTGACCATGAGGAAAGGCGAAAACAGCTCAAACATAAATTGACTAAGAGTCTTCGCATCACGAGCAGCGGTGAGTGGCGAGTTCAAGACAGATGGAGAAGGCATCAGCATTGGATAGCACCTGGGAGATTTTTAGAATATCGACAGGAAGAAGACGATGGTTAGTGAAACCACCACTCAAAAGAATGGCACCCCGATAAGCTTCCAGGACAGATGGCTAAGACGTTGGGCGGAGCACTTCGGACCACACTTAAACCGGCCCCTAACAACCCTTTGGTTGCTACCCAGAGAATCGCGGCAACGTACCAAATGGCGTGGGTGCCTGACTGTGTGTCTCCAGCTTGGCGAGTCCCTTAAAACTACGTAGGTCAGCATCAGTGTTGAATCTCGTCGGATCTTAGGCTATTGATTTTTGGGAACTATTCGCAGTTACACGGCAATAACTATGTGATGTAGGAAGATAAGTAGATTGATTTGAAATCATTGACTAAACAAGATATAGAAAAAGGTCATCTTATCAGGTCAAAGAATTGTCGCCAGAGCGAACAGGTGATCTTTGAAAGAATAGACCATCAAAATGTATTTTGTAATTCTGAATGCCATGTGAATTATTTACTAAAAATACAACAGACTGGTGACAGAACAGTCACCGATAGGTTAGGTAATAAACAGTTTTTATCGCAGTAAATCCATTCTCAGTGAAATAATCGAAAAACATATATGTATATACCTAAGTTCCAGGGATTATTTGCTCGTACTAAAATCGTCACAATCACATTTCGTCTCCTCAATAAACTAAGACACAAAATCTTTTTCTAAACTGGAACTGTGAATAAAATAAACCACGCAATTTCCAAATTTAACCATTTTTATGTAAGACAATGATTTCTACATCATTAGAGTAGCATTCTGAAAACTAATCTCCGAACTCCACCTGCTGGTCGAGAGTCCAGGGTGATTAATGTCTCTAAGGTTATTTGTTGATATTTTGATCAGTTAATTGGCACAGTCAATACGGTTGTTAAGTATTTCTACTCTATGAATTCTTTCTACCAAATGATGCACTTTATTACTTTACCTTAAACATAAGTAGGATGGAACTGTCTATTGGCAAACTTTATATATATCATCAGTTAAATCTTACGAATTCAACAAAGTATTATTATTATTATTATTATTATTATTATTATTATTATTAGTCCCTTGGGTTCCTAGTGGAACATAGGGCTTCAGTAGCACGTCTCCATTCCACTCTCTCCTCTGAAATCTTCTGAACCTGGCTCCACGACAGCCCACAAGCTCTCATTTCCTCCTCGCACGATCTCCTCCATGTCAATATCGGCACCGACGCCCAACTCATCGCTTCCCATGGGGATTCCACTCGAGCGGCTGGCCTGACGCGTGATATCCCCAGTTGGCCTTTTCAGTGTATGCCCAATCCATCTCCACTTCCTCCTGCATATTTGTTGAGCGATAGGTTTTCGGTTGGTTCGTTCCCAGAGTTCCTTGTTGCTCATTGTCTCGGGCCATCTGATCTTCAGTAGCGAGCGTAAGCAGTTGTTGATGAATGTCTGTAGTTTATTAGAAATCCCTTTCGTGACGCGCCAAGTCTCTCAACCATCACACAGAAGCACTGACTTGACGTTGGTGTTGAAAATCCGTATCTTGTTCCGCATGCTGAGTGCAGAAGATCTCCACACTGGTTTCAGGTTAATGAACACCTGTCTTGCTTTTCCGATTCTGGCTGACTTTGACATCTTCGTCTGTGCTGCCGCCTGTAGTTGAAACAGTGCTTCCTAGATAGGTGAAGGAGGTTACTTCCTTTAAGTTTCTCCCGTTGACGGTGATTGGCGTTTGTTGGTGGTGTTGGTTGGGTATCTTCACCTCTGTCTTCTCTATATTCATCTGAAGTCCCGTCTTCGCTGCCTCTTCTGACAACTTGTTAGTTTTTGCCTGTAGATCTTCAAGTTTATGTGACATCAGACACAAGTCATCACTGGCGAAATCCAAGTCTTCTAGGTTCTTTTCCGCAGTCCAGCCATCCAGCGTAACCCCCTCTTCTCGCTGCCTACTGTTTGCTGCATGCTCCAGTCCACCACAATAAGGAATATCATAGGGGATAGTAGGCAACCTTGTTTCACTCCTGTCTTCACTTCAGAATCATCACTGAGCTTCCCATTGTGAATTACTTGGCATGTGGCATCTTCATACAGTTGTTGAATGAGGCGGATAAAGGTTTGCGGTACTCCGTAGTATTGAAGCAGTTTCCAAATTACCTCTCGGTCGACGTTGCCAAAGGCCTTCTCAAAGTCGATGAAGTTGAGGTAGAGAGTTGACTGCCATTCTATACTCTGTTCTATGATGATGCGAAGTGTAGGGTTGATATTTGATCCGCACATGATTTGTACTTCCTGAATCCAGCCAGCCAGCCTGTTCCGGTCGTAGTTTTGAATCCGGTGCATCCTTTAGCCTCTCCAGGATGATGCGGCTTAATATTTTGCTTGCTCTGGGTGGACAGAAGAGTGATTCCGCGTTAGTTCTTGCAAACACTGAGGTCTCCCTTCTTCGGCAGTTTGACAAGGTGACCCTTCTTCCAATCAACGAGCAGGTACCTTCTCTTCCTTCCACACCTGCAATAGTGGTGTGAGCATATCCGCTGTTGTCTCTGCATCTGTTCTCAGTGCTTCTGGCGGTATCCCGTCTGGTCCTGCTGCTTTCCCGCATTTCAGTAGCTTTATGGCGTTCACGACTTCCATTTTCGTTGGAGGATTTATGTTCACTTGTAGTTCAGCAGCTGTAGGTGGTATTTCTGGACGAAGTGCAGGTGGTGGTGGCGATCGATTCAAGAGCTTCTTGAGGTGGTCGGCCCATTGTTTCCTTTGTTTCTCTTCTTTCGTAATTAAATTTCCTTCTTCATCTTTTATTGGTTTCATCTGTGTTGATCTCTTCCCTGATAATAACCCAGTTATTTGATGCAATGTTGTCAGGTCTCTCTTACCAACCGGCAGCCTGTTCTGCTTCACTTGCCAATGTGTCGTAGAAGTGTCTTTTGTCTTTGCGTGCACTCTTCTTCACTTCTTTGTCCAGTGTTTTATACATTGTACTCAGTGCCTCTTGTCGTTGAGCGTCCTTGCACTGGTTTATCTTCTGCTTCACCATCCTCCTCTCCTCTATCAGCTTCCAGGTATCCGTCGAGATCCATTCCTTGTCTTCTTTCTTCTTCCTTACTAATACGGCTGTGCAGTTTTCTTTCCATATCTCTTTCAAAGACTTCCAGTGTTCTTCCACATAGGTTTCTTCAGGGATGTTCCTCGATATCTCCCATTTTGGTCTTCATGGCTGCCGTGAAGATTTCCTTTGTAGTTTCATCCTTCAGTTTCCGAGTGTTGTACTTGAGCTGCGGTCTATCACCAACATTTTTGAAGGCTTTTAACTTGATTTGGAAGGTTCCTCGCACTAGATAGTGATGTGAACCTACATCTGCTCCTCTTCTTGACCTTGTGTCAAGTAGACTGCATCTCCACTTTTTTCACATTGAGATGAAGTCGATCTGATTTTTAGTGTGTCTGGTGTCTAGTGAAATCCATGTCGCTTTGTGGATATCTTTGTGCTTGAACACACTGCCTCCAATTACCAAATCGTTGACTGGGCAGAATTCTGCAAACAATTCTCCATTCTCGTTCATCACCTCACCGAGCGCTTCTCGACCCATGGTTAGTTCTCTTCCTGTGCTGTCCCGTCCCTGTTTGGCATTCATGTCGCCCATCAGAATTTTGATATCGCCAACTGACGTCTCGTCCAGTGTTGATTGCAGTTGTCTGTAGAATTCCTCCTTTTTCTCTTGCTCTGCACTATTTGTAGGTGCATAGCATTGTATGATTGTGACCTTTCTTCCTTTTGAGTTGAATCTTGCTGTCATGATCCTGGAGGAGATTGGTTCCCACTGCATGAGAGCCTTCGGTGTTCTTGGGGACATCATGATAGCCACTCGATAACTCAGTGTGCTCGTGGTTGTCGTCTGGGTGACAATATCAGAGTAGATTATTGATTCTCCAGTTGACAGCTGGGAGAGTCGGCTCCCATTCCATCTGCTTTCGCGAATTCCAAGCACTTCATCTCGTTTGCAATCTGGGCTGCCTTGCTGGGTTCAAACGTGGTGCGGACATTTCATATCCCCACCTTTACTTTCGCCTTCATCGAGAGGAGAGAAGACACATCGGCCAATTGGCTTCCCGAAGGCTGGCTTTCACCAACTGACGTCATTTTGCCTCTCCGATTCCAGTGAGGAATAATTTGGTTATTTTTTATATATCGTTTGTGCTTTGAAGTTTCTTTAGCGGTTAGATTTGATTTATGGGGTAGGGTTGCTAGCCCTATGCCCAACCTTCCCTCTTTACCCGGGCTTAGGACCGGCTAGTAACTAGTGAAGTAGTTAAGCAGGCGAGGTTAATCAAAGTCGTACTTACCATATGTTGCTCACTGGATACATTTTACTGTCAGCTACTCTGTCACTTGGCCACGTTATTTTTGAGAAGTGATGAAAATAAAACATCTATGGAAATTGTTTATGTATTTAACAAGCCAGAATATATTGTTTACTGTATGAAGGTATTTCATTAATAAGTTCTGTAGCAAATCTATTTTAGAAAAGCAAGAAGTGTTTACTATCTACCTCTAGTTGGAAAGATTAACACTAGTCCATTCTGATAGTGTATTTGTTTATACGACAAAATGAAAGCTTACTTCTTCACAGGTGAGTCGTACGACTTAGATCGAAACCAACCTTTCCCATTTACCTTATTTATGAGAAATAGAATCAGAAATTTGCAACAATGATAGGATTGACTGTAAACTTTAAATGGTACAGTCGAAATTTAGGATTTCTACTATTGATACAATTAATAATCTTATTGTGATATAGTCAAGTTTACAGATGAATTAATTTTCTTGACAAAACTTTTTGTATCATAGAGGCAGTCATCTTTTGTAAATCACTCAATCAGCATGCATTATAAGGCTTAAATTTGAGTTCCATCGGAAAAAAAATGCTTCCACGTTAAGATGTCCACCTCATTAGCGGTGAAAAGATCAAACTGAAATGAACTACACTTAAATAATTTCATTGTTTTTAATGAGAAAGTTAAACAAAGTTGGTATAATCTATGCACTCTAGAATTTTTCTCACTGATATGAATGTGACTCAGTTTACAGAAATGATTACAAGTGAGTGACACGGCTTCTTGCGTATAGGTTTTCGGTTCTATAGAGACTTGCTAATTCTGTCTTCTTTAGTTACTTTTAGTGAAATTTACCGGTAATGTTGCGAATATCTTACTGTGTTCGTGCAGCTCCCTGTCATTTACATCTGAAACAACTAAGTGGCAACATATTTCTTGATTTTAAGGAATTTATGAGAGAAGAGCTCACTAGTCATAAACAGCTTACCGGTGGTTCTTGGTCTCCTGTTGACTTCTACCCGTGATGAGCGCTACTTCATAACACTGTATTTAAATGTTTAACTTGCATATACACATATATACTAAAAGTGTTTTCATTTATTTTGCTTTTTATTTGCTAGAATAGTCAATAGCAATAGGACACATAGTAACACGTGTTGTTTGAAAATCAAGGTGTCATAGGCAAAAATATTTTTTATCATTTACTGCATTCTGTTTATGCAAGCTATGTTCTAAAGTCCAACTGCCACGAACTTCAGCCATGAAGAGAAACATTGTTTTACGTGGTATCTACCGTCATCAACTCAGCGGCGGACACAGATAAACCACCATATTATTATCAGTTATCGCAGTGGAGGGTCAGTGGAAGATTGCTATTCTTTTTAGACAGCAACGTCGAGTTGTTTAGAGTACTTGTATGTTGGCGCCTAAATGGACATAGAAAAACTGTCGCATCAAGACCATCGCGAGCGAGCTCAACAATGATAACACTAAGGCCGCTTTCAATGTGAGGTACTGGCTAGAATAGCATCCAGTGAGCCGTAAATACAGCATTGATGACTTTAGCCAACTCACAGAGAATGGTTAAAAAGAGGCAGTGCATATCAAAAGCTTTTGAATTAATACATGCGTGTGAACGCATTCCTTCACTCTACAAACACAATGTGGAGTGGAAGCAACTGAAATGTAGACCGCGAACAGTGGTCGACAATGAAGACTGAAGCAATAGAAAAGGTGGAGATAATAGGTAGCAATAGACGGTTATTTTTAACTCATGAAGGAGACTAGAGTGAAATGACTAGTGGTTTGTGAGACGATTAAAGAATACATGAGGAAGCTTCAGACGTCCGACCGCCGTTGCCTTCACAGCATAGGCCATGTGTCGTGGTGTGACCGCATCAGTGATGTAGAAGTCAGCTGTATGGAGGAGAGGAAAGTAAGTTGATAAAGTTATGATGAATTCAGTATTTTTTTCGTTGCTGCTTGTTATCTCATGAGGAATTTTGGCCGCCTTTGACTACTTTTTTTCATTTCTGTATCTTTCATCATAGTGCTGTTTCACCTGATGTGCTGGCATTAGGTGTAATAACTTAAGTAGCTACACAGTAATGCCAGGCCTTATGTTGATTTGTTGATAGTGATTTCGTCACTGATAAAACCAGGTAAAATAGTAAAAGTTAAGTGTACCTTATAGAAGTGATAAAACTTTTCTTACGAAGCAGCGGTGAAAAAGGACATCGAAGGCCTTACCTTCGATTTATTAAATAGCCGAAAACTTATTAGACATCAATGACCCGAGTTACGAATACCCACGATCCATGTCAAATGCCACCTTTCTAATTTTGTATTCTTTTATATTTCAGAATAAGAATACAAAAAGGTTAAATTAAAGTGTAGCAACCATAATCAGTGATCTTGTATCCGACGGTTAACAGTCAGTCAGATTGCATACTGACTGACTGACTGACTGGTTACTAATAATAAAAGATATTTACCTGCTTTATTCTAAGTATTATCTTAATATTGTTTTTCAGTATTGCATAAATGACAGACTCACAAAATAGCTGAAGAAATATCAGTTTTCAGATAGCATGGTCATCCATCCTTAAACAATAATGGCAGTTGTGGCTAACTGAAGAACCCAGGACACGCGTTTGGTTCTATTTGAGACTCGCCAGCTGGATGTATCTGCAGCTCAGTGAGTGATGTTCCCACTGAAACTCGAACCTCGTACTCATTACTTCAAACGCTAAAGCGTATCCACTAGGACACAGAGAATTACAAGTATGTCAACAAATTATAACTAATACCCGTTGTATAAGAGCTATCGTGACTCAGTGACCTAGTGGATAACGCTTTAAAGTTTGAAGCGATGGGTACGAGGTTTGAGTCTCAGTGACAACAACACTCACTGAAGTGCAGGTACATTCAGCTCACGAGTTGCCTCCGTTTATTCAGAAAACGTTGATCCCTCTACTAATAGGTGTCTCCTACACAAACACATCTCACATTGTGTGCTAAATACAAAGCAGACCAGTGAGCGGTACAACTACAACCAGAATATGCTAGCAAGTAATTTCAGTATCCAGAGACTTAAGTGGTATCCTTTCTAAAAAAGAGACTAGATGCCTACTGAAGACATCGTCCCAAGAATAATTAATCCAGAAAGAATACTCCATTTATCTTCTGACTCCACACTGGATTACAATAGATGCTAACTCACAGCCTGTATACATTTACCACATTTTGAAAATCGGGAACACACTCCAGCTCACTGCCACAATGTTCGTTTGACCTATCACTAAAAAATTATCAATTAATGACAGCGTGAAATTACTTGATCCATAGTTTCCCCATTGAAACTGCCGGTAAGTCATTTCTAACCGCATTATGGAGATTTTCGGAAACAGAAACGTATATTGCTTTCAGGTTGGTGTTCATCATGAACTGACATTAGTTGGAGAAACATTTCAATGTTGATGAATACCAACCTGAAATCAATAAATAAATCCCCATAAACCCCAAAATTGAAGAAATATGTCTCTTAATTTCATTCACAGCATTACCACTGTATCTTCAATCAGTTAACTAATTTACCACGAATGACTTACGTCTCGTAACATACAACTGACGCTTTTGAGAGTAATCAAGATTTCACCACAAAAAATTAACTTCCTAGCACAAGACAGAAATATGAACACCAGTTCGTTAGGAAGACAAATACATCAGACAAACACTCCAAACTACCACCAAAACTTAAGAAAACTAACTGAACTTGTCACAGGTAAAACTGCAAAGCACAACTCAAAAAACAAACATATATTTGTAAGTATTCTTGTTTGTTGTCAACAGCATGCACACTAACTCGTTCACATCTCAACTGTAAGTCAAACTTTGTATCTCGCAACTCCACCGCCAACTTTTCCAAATGGAGGCTAGAAAACCCTTGAAAATAAACAACCATCGACCAAAGACACCTGCTTCGACTTCTCTACTTCATCTGAAGCCAAAGATAATGGCCTACTGGCCGCATCATTCTCACATGCCAACTCACATTGAATATCATTTGAGGTACCAAGATGAGAAGCTTTGAGTTCATCATATTGTTGTCCTTTTGAGATAGCAGGTTCGGTGACACTGTCAGACGATCCTATGACTGGTAGCGTTACAGTTCTTCTAAACGAGAAGAAATCAGGTCAATCAATCATTCTGTTCAAAGTTGTTAACTGATATTGACACATACATACAAATGCAGGGATGAAAAACACTATATTTCCTGCCTAACCTCCAGTCACAATTGCATAAGAACTCCACTCTAATTAAGACATCACACCCACTAATTGCAAAAACCTATCAATTCTAAACAGATCGATTACACACCACCTGAAGTCAATCACATAAGTCAAAGTGAAACACAATTCTCAGTAAAATTTAGTTTTTGATTTCGTCGATAAAATTGTCTTCTGTCTGCAGATATCATCCTAACATCTTTAAGGCTTACCTAATCGCCAACAAGAGGGGACAACACAGGAAGAGAACTAACCATGGGTCGAGAAGCGCTCGGTGAGGTGATGAACGAGAATGGAGAATTGTTTGCAGAATTCTGCCCAGTCAACGATTTGGTAATTGGAGGCAGTGTGTTCAAGCACAAAGATATCCACAAAGCGACATGGATTTCACTAGACACCAGACACACTAAAAATCAGATCGACTTCATCTCAATGTGAAAAAAGTGGAGATGCAGTCTACTTGACACAAGGTCAAGAAGAGGAGCAGATGTAGGTTCACATCACTATCTAGTGCGAGGAACCTTCCAAATCAAGTTAAAAGCCTTCAAAAATGTTGGTGATAGACCGCAGCTCAAGTACAACACTCGGAAACTGAAGGATGAAACTACAAAGGAAATCTTCACGGCAGCCATGAAGACCAAAATGGGAGATATCGAGGAACATCCCTGAAGAAACCTATGTGGAAGAACACTGGAAGTCTTTGAAAGAGATATGGAAAGAAAACTGCACAGCCGTATTAGTAAGGAAGAAGAAAGAAGACAAGGAATGGATCTCGACGGATACCTGGAAGCTGATAGAGGAGAGGAGGATGGTGAAGCAGAAGATAAACCAGTGCAAGGACGCTCAACGACAAGAGGCACTGAGTACAATGTATAAAACACTGGACAAAGAAGTGAAGAAGAGTGCACGCAAAGACAAAAGACACTTCTACGACACATTGGCAAGTGAAGCAGAACAGGCTGCCGGTTGGTAAGAGAGACCTGACAACATTGCATCAAATAACTGGGTTATTATCAGGGAAGAGATCAACACAGATGAAACCAATAAAAGATGAAGAAGGAAATTTAATTACGAAAGAAGAGAAACAAAGGAAACAATGGGCCGACCACCTCAAGAAGCTCTTGAATCGATCGCCACCACCACCTGCACTTCGTCCAGAAATACCACCTACAGCTGCTGAACTACAAGTGAACATAAATCCTCCAACGAAAATGGAAGTCGTGAACGCCATAAAGCTACTGAAATGCGGGAAAGCAGCAGGACCAGACGGGATACCGCCAGAAGCACTGAGAACAGATGCAGAGACAACAGCGGACATGCTCACACCACTATTGCAGGTGTGGAAGGAAGAGAAGGTACCTGCTCGTTGATTGGAAGAAGGGTCACCTTGTCAAACTGCCGAAGAAGGGAGACCTCAGTGTTTGCAGGGACTGGCGAGGAATCACTCTCCTGTCCACCCCAAGTAAAATATTAAGCCGCATCATCCTGGAGAGGCTAAAGGATGCACTGGATTCAAAACTATGACCGGAACAGGCTGGCTGGCTGGATTCAGGAAGTACAAATCATGTGCGGATCAAATATCAACCCTACACTTCGCATCATCATAGAACAGAGCATAGAATGGCAGTCAACTCTCTACCTCAACTTCATCGACTTTGAGAAGGCGTTTGACAGCGTCGACCGAGAGGTAATTTGGAAACTGCTTCACTACTACGGAGTACCGCAAACCTTTATCCGCCTCATTCAACAACTGTATGAAGATGCCACATGCCAAGTAATTCACAATGGGAAGCTCAGTGATGATTCTGAAGTGAAGACAGGAGTGAAACAAGGTTGCCTACTATCCCCTATGATATTCCTTATTGTGGTGGACTGGAGCATGCAGCAAACAGTAGGCAGCGAGAAGAGGTGGTTACGCTGGATGGCTGGACTGCAGAAAAGAACCTAGAAGACTTGGATTTCGCCAGTGATGACTTGTGTCTGATGTCACACAAACTTGAAGATCTACAGGCAAAAACTAACAAGTTGTCAGAAGAGGCAGCGAAGACGGGACTTCAGATGAATATAGAGAAGACAGAGGTGAAGATACCCAACCAACACCACCAACAAACGCCAATCACCGTCAACGGGAGAAACTTAAAGGAAGTAACCTCCTTCACCTATCTAGGAAGCACTGTTTCAACTACAGGCGGCAGCACAGACGAAGATGTCAAAGTCAGCCAGAATCGGAAAAGCAAGACAGGTGTTCATTAACCTGAAACCAGTGTGGAGATCTTCTGCACTCAGCATGCGGAACAAGATACGGATTTTCAACACCAACGTCAAGTCAGTGCTTCTGTGTGATGGTTGAGAGACTTGGCGCGTCACGAAAGGGATTTCTAATAAACTACAGACATTCATCAACAACTGCTTACGCTCGCTACTGAAGATCAGATGGCCCGAGACAATGAGCAACAAGGAACTCTGGGAACGAACCAACCGAAAACCTATCGCTCAACAAATATGCACTGGAAGGAAGTGGAGATGGATTGGGCATACACTGAAAAGGCCAACTGGGGATATCACGCGTCAGGCCAGTCGCTCGAGTGGAACCCCGATGGGAAGCGATGAGTTGGGCGTCGGTGCCGATATTGACATGGAGGAGATCGTGCGAGGAGGAAATGAGAGCTTGTGGGCTGTCGTGGAACCAGGTTCAGAAGATTTCAGAGGAGAGAGTGGAATGGAGACGTGCTACTGAAGCCCTATGTTCCACTAGGAACCCAAGGGACTAATAATAATAATAATAATAATCGCCATCAAATGTTACTGTAAGAAAAAAAGTTTTTATCAATCTTCTGCGACGTACAGCCTATTAACCATGTATGTCTCAAGGTCAAGTGCTCCCTTTGAAGTTTCGTATTGAATCAGACAAAAAGTTCATACAGATGGTCGAAGACGCCTAGCATACACTACACTATCTCATAACGAATCACCCAAAGTATGTTGGAAACTGTGACCCATAATCTTACACCTTGTAGGAATACATATTACTGAATTCTACTTTTGTCAGTTTTTATGACTTTTGTGATGACTTAGATGAATTTTGTTTCTTTTGCTATCTCATGGGAGTACTCCTTATCCGCTTTTTTCTTAATCGACTAGAAGATTTTTGGGGATATCGGCCAATTGTTTGGTGAATTCCTTATTTTCCACTAGATTTTTTCATACCATATAATCCCAAGCTTCATTTTTTTTTACTCTGTGCTATTTTGATTCACCTTATTGACCTGTCATGGTAGGTTTATTTCTTTTCACTTTAATTTTTACTCCAGTTTCGCTTATTGACTTACATTTTTGACATCTATCTGCTTATTTTAATTGTTTGCTTCCATCAAAATATAATTGCAACCTATTTTGTTGAGTAATTTTTGTTCTTTGCATCACAAACTTCATTTATACTTACATTGACTGATGTTGTCAGTAAGTCCTGTTTGTGTATTTTTATAAATATTTAACTTTGAATAGAACACAGAAATGTCCATAAGTTGCGGTTGAGTTGATAGTGTTCTTAATTAACTTCTTTTTTTTGTTTTCGTTGCATTGAAGATCTAGCCATTTAACAGCTATAGAAAGTTAAATCGGCTCAGACTCAGTTTCAATCAATGTGAATGTGTAGGCCGTAAATATTCACCACTGTATAAAAGGCATATTTTAGCTACCTTTAAAACTAGTTGCTTCTTTTTAGGATGAATAAGTCCTTAGTATAGTACAGACTCTTACATGTTTTTTTATTATAATCTACTCTTCGATTTCTACATTAATTAGTCTCACATAACTTATTGAATGAACACAAATGATACCGTTTTATTAAGAACTTACATGATTTCATTAGTTTGTCCTTGTTTTCCAATTGTTTTCTCATGGATATTAAATGTTTTCATTTCTTTATGTAAACAACTCTTACTCATATTTTCTACTTTCTTTTCTTTTGATACAGTGAAATAGTATTCGAAATTCTTTTCAACCAAATTCATATAATGACTTGATTGCCGATAATTTATAGTATGCTCAGCTGACTGGGGTCTTATCATACATTCATTAGAAAAATAGGATGATATGAAATTTGTTTGCATGATGTCAAGTGAAGATCTGGAAAAAAAAAAGTGAAACAAGTTAACTCACTTCGTCAGTGAACTGTCCGTTACCTGAATGCAGTTGTCAGTAAGATGTATCAAAGATGAATAGAATTTTATAAACTATATTTTTATAAAAGTAAACACGTTATGGAAGCCATATAAAGAGGAATTTATGAGTGTTTTATTTTTCATTATCAATCAACTGAAAATTCTGAAAAGTTGGCACCATCATCATTCAGCAGAAGACGACTTGTATATTGATTTGGGTTAAATATTTGATTTTTCTCCTCATTACTGGGAAAGCTTAAGATGATATGTATTTTTGAGATGAATGAGAATTGTAAATTTAGAGGTAGTATTCATCATGTACTGGCATTAGTTGGGGAACCATTGAAAGTCTGTGGTTCACAATTTCCAACTGCTGTCAATTCGCGATATAGCACAACTATCACCCAAGGTCTTCAGTTGGCATCCGCTTCAATTCCAAGTGGTTGACCTCACCAGTCACGGCTACTCATTAGAGCCTCGTGATATCCGTCTGAAAGCAAGTCACTCATGAGCACTATAGTCTCTACACCGTGAATTGACAGAAGTTGGAAATTGTGAACCACTAAGAACTGACCCTGTGGCTGAATGGTTAACGCGTTCGCCGTGAAACCTGGAGGTCCTGAGTACGATCCCTAACCGGCTCTCGGGTATGTACTCCCAAGGAATCCCACACTAGGACGAAACAGCTGTCCAGTGCTCAAAGATTTTCAATGGTTCCCCAACTGATGTCAGTACATGATGAATACTACCTCTAAATTAAGATGATATCATTAATCTACGGTCCCAGATACGCTGTATATCAACATTAATTTGTTGGTACGTTCATATATGCATTGAGAAAGTAGTCTAAATAACTACACTTATTCTAAAATTGTGTAAATACCACAATTTGTAATTAGCTAATCATCTCACATTAGCTTGCCTACAGAAAAGAAGGCATGAACGTGAAATGCATAAAAGTGTAACCTTAGAAAACTGCGTCACCCACCCCTCACCACCATTTCCTTTATAAAAATTACTTAATCACGTTAACTAATACATAATAAAACTAAACATGTAGAATACCTATGTGGAGTTCCGATTCGATCCACATATCTTTCAGCTACCATCAGCACACTGTATCAATCTAACAAAATGTGTAGACGAACCAGTGGTAAGATCTTAGTTTTATTCAGTTTTTATTTTGTATATTCGGGTGAATCAATGCCAATTATATAGTATAAAAACATTTCGTAAATCGAAACAGCTAGCATAATCACTGTAAACCACAGTTCATTTAAGTGTTTTCAGCAATCCACTGCGAATTAACCTTCAGAAGCCGAATGATAAACATTCGAGTTTTGTGTGCTCACCAATTCATCTGCTCTTCTGGAGCTGGTTACACAGCCGGCACAATTAGTGCTGTATTTAAACACGTCTTCGAACACTATCCTACACTGCTGTCTAAAAGAGAGTGTAAAGCCATTAACACCGATTCTTGAGCATTTGATTAACTCTGGTCTCTATGCTCCACGACAGTCTTCTTTCAAAGTCATTTATAGAGTGAAATCAAACATTTAGAAGGGAGCTCGTATTCCATATCTCAATACAGTAGAAGCCTGATCTCTGCTTTCAAAAGAAATACGTTCAATCTCTAATCTTACCTTAGTCGTAATCCCCCTAAGACATTTTATTTATTGACTTACTATTTGTTTATTTATTGTAATTCTAAAAGCAATTCTTCGGTGATCTTGGCTTGACCTTCTAGCCGTTTTCACCAAGTGACTCCATTGACCGTTTTCCACGATTTTTTATTCACTGTACAGTGAATTGTCGTTTGTTGATTTTTCATTAGTTCAAACTTAGTAAATTTTGATGTAGACTGTGACACTTATTCAGCATTTACTTTCACCCACTAACTTCATTTGAGTTTCAGAATATTCTTAGTGTGCCGATAAAATAACATTTTTACGCTTTCTTTCCTATTCACAAAAATATCTGCGGTGATCAGAAATGTTGTTAGCTTTAAGGTCATCAGAACACTTTTACAGATCATTGATTAAAATGTCATATTTAACGCGAAAAGCACTTTTACATACATTTCCAAGAGTGTAATATTTCATATGTTTTGAAGAGTTTATGTTCGTTTATTTGTAATGAATATTCTCAACCAACCCAGGTTTTAAACAAGAAAGTTTATCATCTGTCAACTCATTTATTTCTGCCGTAAAATTTACAAATTAAATTGTGTTCTACTTAAGGTAAGATTTATTGCACACCTGTGCATCTGTGACCTCAGTAGCCGGGACCGAAACTATTCAGTCGCCATTTAAAAAATACTTACTTTGACCTCACTACCGGGTAGTGTTTTCAGTCATCACCCTTCAGGTGGAACCGAGGTTGGTTGGACGTAATCGGTAGGAAGCTATGCTTGAACTACGTTTCGTGCTTTTTGGAACTCGTCAGCAAGGCGTATATGCAACCTCGAGGAAACTGATCTCCCTTCTGATATTCGAACCCACGTAACTCAGTGTTGCAGTCAACGACGTTATCACTGGGTCCTTCAGGCGGCGATTAACCTTTTGTAGGACTGTGATAGGAAGTGGCTGAATATGGTAATGAGCATTTGAGGTTATCAGCCGTTGGGGTAGAAGTGTTTTTGTTTCAGATTTCGATTTATGTCTATATGTGGACAAAATGACTTTACTGACCTATTCAGTAGTCAATAAGGAACCTATTTCATGTTGTCTAGTTCTAAGTGCTGACCGAGTTTTATCGGTCGTTCTGTAATGTGGCCATCAAGCATGCAGGCTCAGCATTACGGAAAGCATATTACTATATGACTGAGTTAAGGTTGTGCTACTGTATAATCTTTACTAATTTGTGATAATGACAGGCATAAAAATTTCTTGAAGTTATTATGGAAAGTTTTAAACTACCCTAAAAACATACGATGGCCTCCTTGAACTCTGGGTTGCCGAAAATTCTCACCGAATATATTACATCAAATTCTCTCCTTCCAATTTGTTTTAATCCTTTAAATATTTCTTCTTAACGTATCGTGTACTCTCGCACATTTTCAAAATGTTTTCAACTACCTGTTTTTACAGGTTAGCAACAAAATGAAGTAAAAAGCATCCCAGTAGATAACAATTGACGTTTAAATTCACAAAAGTACATCACATTACGATTCTTCAGATACCTAGCTGGAATTACAGATTCTTATTCTGGCTGAATGAACCACACCAATAAACTTAACCTCGCTTTTCTATTCATTCCCCTCTCCGGATAAAACACTAATCGAACAACAGCTGGCTGTTTCACATTATTTCCTTTAGTACTGTTATTATTAACGTCACTCAGATGGAATAATGATTTCGTCAGAAAATATTGTTCTGGGAGTGAATTTGTTGAAATATTACTTTCTGAGAATTTAATACTGTATTAAAACATATTGCTTGGAATAAAACGATTTATTACTATTATCAGTAACACAAATGTGACAAATTTATTTGCTCAACTTTGAAAATAAATAATTTATGTGAAGCAAAACGCCTTTCAACTAATCAGATAGATAGACAATGAAGGCAGATAACGTGACGTTTCTTTATGATTCGCCAGGCTTGAACAGATCATATCAAAAGATTTAGGTGGTGATCAAGAAAGAAGCAAAATGAAATTCGAAGTGATTAATAGCCTTTGGTGACGACAGAAAGGCGAATAATAATTCATGATGTTACAAATCAGAAATACACACATCTGCATTATTATAACCAGTTGTTAACCATAACACTTCTGCAAGTCTTCTTTCGAATTAAATCAGGAGCTTACAGTTCAACGGAGACACATCAACAGGTATGTTGAGAAACTGTCTGGCATGCTCATTGAGACTTTCCGTGCTGCGAAACTCAGATTAACTTTCTCCACTCACCTAATGCTTCGATTATGCGTAAGGATAGGCTAGCTTTTTCGGCCACCTCAATGTGTGTTTATCAATTCACCTGCTCCTGTGAAGTAAGGCATACTGGCCGTACTCAGCGTTTGCTTTCCAAACGCATCTCCAAATATAAACCAGCTTGGTTCCACTAAAGAGAAAGGAGGATACTTCACAGCCCTATTTTAGAAAATTTGACTGATTATGACCACTCGGTAAATGCAGAAAACAACTCCATTGTCATATATAGACTTCGTGCAAATGCTGTGAAAGGTGAGTGCCTAAAATGTCTTCAAACCACGGAGGCCATGGCAATGAATATTTTGAAACCTGAACTCTGCGTTCAGAAGAAATTCGTCTAGTCACTTAAGTTGCAATGGATATAATCTTTAAGAACATTTTTACCTTCGAAAAATGTTTCATTCAGATCTTCCAACACACGAGATTCCCCCACCTCTATAATTCTGATTTCTCTTTAAATTCAGTATGTCACATCATCTAACTTATATTATTATGACTTATTTTTATGTCCCTTAGATTCCAAGTGGAACATAAGTCTTCAGTACCACGTCGCCATTTCACTTCGCTTCTGCAGTCTTTTCGACTTGGCTCCACGACTGTCCACAAGCTTCCATTTCTTCCTCACACCATCTCCTCCATGTCACCCTTGTCTCGGACACCCAACTCGTCGTTTCCCATTTGGGTTCCACTCGGTGACCTGGTCTGGTGTGACGTGCGATGTCTTCGAATGGTCTCCTCAGTGTATATCCAATGCAATCCAATCCACTTTCTTCTTCTGCATATTTGTTGGGTGATAGATTCTTGATTGGTTCGTTACCAAATCAGAGTTCCTTGTTGCTTATTCCTATTATTCTGGCCATCTGATCATCAGCATCGAGTAAGCGTAGACGACAGCTGTTGATGTATGTTGGTAGTTTGTTCGAAATACTTTTCGTAAAGCGTCAAGTCTCCGAACCATCACATAGAAGCACTGACTTGATTGGGATTACTGTTGAAAATCCGGATCTTATACTTTATGCTGAGTGCAGTGCAATGCATTAGATCTCCATAGTGACTTCATTTAACTTAGTAACTAAATATTTGTTCCGTTTTGATAAGTCTTCTTCTCGTTACTATTTCAGACATTGCGTAATTCCTTTTTTTCCGATCTCCCGATCTAAAATTAAATCTGAAGTTCGTTCAAAATATTTCATGAAACATTTCTGTTACTATGTGAATAGAATATTTATATGCAATTGTACAGCTTGAGAATAATATCACTGAAAAGAGTGACTCTTCGCTATACATCTTTCGTTTTAGATCGGGAAGTCTATACTGTTTTTTATGCAGTTGCTAATAGTCGAAGACATTCAGGTTGTGTAATAATGACTACAACGTGAATGGTCTCTCACCCTCCCCTACGAAGTCGACTGTTTCCATTCAACACCAAAGATTCCTCTTTGATTTGTTGGATTCTTTCTAAACGTTCTTCTTCGCACTTTCTTTCTTTTTCGAGTTCTTGTATGCGTTGCTATTTAAAAGTTAAACAAAACATTAATAATCCTTTAATATCTCAGTTTAGTCAAACAGTTTTATCCAGTACTGTTTAGCGTACTTCATTTGTGTCCGTGCTAAATAATATTGTAATCACAATAATGTTTTCAAAATTATTCTGGAAAATTGTCACTCTTACAACAGATAGACTGTCGAAATCAACTTAAAACCTCTCACACAAGTGTCAGTCTTGCCTAGTACCCTTCCCCTGACCTTAACACCCTTTACACAGTGACTCCACCACACGTAAGCAATGCCACGAAGACACCTATGATCAACACCCTGCAATAGCTTCATATCTCCTACTTTCAGTGACCATTTCTCGCAGCCATATAACAGGACAGAACGAACTGCAGTGCAGCTTACTCGTCCTTTGATAGATAGTCGGAAATTTTGCCAGTCGGAGCCATAGAAGACTTCAGTTGGCAAATAAAAAACAAGTCTTCCCCATCCGAGCTTAGATTTTGTCAGTGACTAATCCATTTGGGATGATGCAACTCCCCAAGTAAGTGAAGTAGTCGACGCATTCCACCACCACATTCCCTATCATTAAACTGAGAGTGGTTTCAGATTAGTCCTGGAGCATCATCTGACACTTGACAGATGTGAAACGCACACCAAACATACACAGCTTTCTGCTTAATGCTCTCAGAAGACCCCGCATTTTGTCAGTCCCTTTGCCTAACAGGACAATGTCATCTGCGCACTGCAAGTCAACCAGAGGCCCTTCAGGAAGTAGATCAATCCCTATCAAGTCAGACACACGTAAAGTTATGTCTATTAGTATGTCTATAACGAAATTAAACAGGAACAGTGATACTATGCGTCACTCGTAGATACCTCCAGTGGGTGTCAGTTCTGATGACAACTTTCCATAAGCCCTTATAACAGTCGCCTACAAGAATATATCTCAAAACCTTTAACTGTTCATGGTTATCAACATAAAATAAAAACTTGTCGTTTCAGAAGAAATTTAATTCAGTGCACATCAAAGTATTCACAGAATCTTAACTCTGGACAATATGTAAAGATCTGAGCTGTATCTTTCATTCTATATGAAACCTAAACAAAAAACAATTCTACAGCTTTATATGTTTACTGAAAACATAATTACAGAAAGTTTTATAAGTCAACGTAGAACTTTAAAACCAAGTTAAGAAATGTCAGTAAGGATAAGTGGAAATCAAAAGAAATAAAACAAAATCCACAGCGGAATACCTTTAGTTTCTTCTGTATATTGGCAAAAAATGTGTTATTAAGGTGAAGAATTTATTTCTATAGCTGATGATGGTTTGGTGTTCCCCGACCTTTTGTACATTATCGTGTATATTTCAACACCAGGCTTAGTGACATCCTCAGCACTAGCTTCATGCAGAAGCAAATTGTACCTGAATGTCCCAGGAATGTCCAGGTGGTGTTTTTGTAGACCCTAAGTGTTGTCCAACTGTCAGTTAATGAGGAGATTTTCTTCATATCTTGACCCCTTCGGCTTTAAGTTTCATTCTGTCATGATGGTAGGGAATCTTTCTTACAGTGAAATTGAGCTTTTTGTAACTGTCGTATTATGCTTCATTATTGACGTTAGTGTATGATGAAAATCTTTTCGTCCACTTATAAATGAATAACACCTAAAGTCTAATAAAACACTACCTAAACATTCGTGGAATATTTGAATATACTTCACTTCTGTATAAAGTTAATGCTGGGGATGTCACCAAGCCTGGCGATGAAACTTTCATGACAAAATATCAAAGCTCAGACACCAACCAAACTAACATCATCCTCATCATGAGCTACAAATATATTACATACCCCTAATTCTGCCAAACTTTTGCTTGATATTTGCACAAAACTTTAAAATGACCTTATTATTGCTGTTTTAGTTCCCTCTTGACGCTGTTGTTAGCTTTTATTTTTCCACTGCTTTCGAAGGCTGAACTCTCATTGGTTGTTAACTCCTTTAACTAAGCAGTGAATTTAGTAATTGTCAAGATTGTTTAGAATATATATACTCAGTATCGCTTTCAACTGTTTTGATTGGTGTTGAGACAGTTAAAGCTCTCTACCAACGATCCGTCTTTTCTTGTATTCGTGTACTGGGAGTATTTTTGTTATGGTGGTCGACATTCTGATTAGCAATTAGAGTAGATTCTTTTGCATGTTAGGTTCGTATCGCTCGTAGACTGCTAGGTCGCATTACCGGTTATAGGAAAATCTTTTCTATCATTTCTACAGCCACCATCATCCTTGAGGTGAACCTTTTGGTTTGGACAAATGTCAATGTTAAAATGTCGTTGCTAGCTTATGTCGAGTTCCGTTAATTAGCAAAGGTATAATACAATCAGTTCATCCAGGTGGAAATCTATGAAAATGGTTTGCCACCAATTGTTTGGATGATAGAAGTTATTACCTTAAGGTGAAATAATGCACACCTTACTACCAAACTAGTAAGCTTTTTTATTTTTTTCCCGTTGTTATATCAGGTCGAATTGCTCAACCTCTTTGGTAGATGTGCTCTAATTTGAACCCCCGATACTGCCTTACTATTCACTGTTAAAATTGAATTGGTGGCGGCTAGTAGCAGAATCCAAGATGTGTGTTTCTTCCTATTTGGGACTTGTCACCTGGATGCCCCTGCACCCCAGTAAAGAAACGGTAAAATGCAAGTATTAATAAACAACAACTGATACCCGTTGGACAAGTGTAGGATCTCATGCCCCAGTGGTCTACTGGGTAATATTTTGGCGTTTGAAGCGATGGATTTTGGGTTCGAGTCTTAATGGAGGCAGTATCACTTACTGAAGCGCAGGTACATCCAGCTGACGAGTTGCGAATAGGTCGAAACGCACATCCTAGATTCCACTGCTAGCCGCTAAGTAGACTAGTAAGCTATGGTTCAAAAACACAACTTTCTTAAATTTTTCTTATGCATAAAAGAAAGTTACTACTAGAATTCAGTATCCTAAAATGAACATGTGAAGTTAGTTTATAAAAGAGGCAAAGTTATCGCATTACAATTTAATTTAAATCATCTTTTTATAAACCATTTTAAATGAATTAATCATCTTTGGATTAAACATTCTATGCATGATACAATGTTGAATGCCAATGTTTTAAAATATGTATAATTTATTAATAACCCAAAAATATTTCCATCTTACACGAATATACTCTTCTTCAGACTGAAATGTATTCAACATTTCTTCCATTATTGAAGGATCTAAGTCATCTTCATTCTGTGTTTCATAGTTGTAGAATATGAAAAGCAATCATTACTCAATATTACAATATGTGTATGTGTGGAATTTTTGAAATAACTTAAGATTCCTATTCAGTAGTACAAAATTTTCAAAAACGTTTTTGATTCCTTCTAAAATACCTAGTTACAACAGGTTTAGAATTGAAAAGAAGATAGTATCAGCTGTAAATAATAATTTTTTAATGATGAGTGTGTATACAAGGATAAAAAACTACTGGCCATCAAACCTATAAGGTTTCATCTATTTAACCATGCTTGTCATTAGCTTCTTTCAAACAAAAGATATGGCTAAATGTCCGTATACAAACCTGTATAAACTGGGTGATGATTGAGAGTGAAATGAAAATTCGGACCGCGGCCGGATTCCAGACCACCGGATTTCCAGGACAGTGCTCTACCAAACCAGAATACGAGACCCGACTCCTGACCAGATTTTTATTTCACTTCAACTACCAAGGGTTTTTGCCCGACTACAATGTGAATTCTTGACGCACTACTACCACTTGATCGTACTCACACTGACTGCCCGCCACGGTAAGGATTTTCATTTCACTTCAATCATCACCCAGCATGAATACAAGTCTGCCAAACCACTGCTATCTCAGATGGTCAAAATAATAAACCTGTATATGTCTGATGAACTACATGCCAAACCAGAATATACGTCGACGGAAATGGAGCTCCACCTTCTCGGCTTGTCTTAAGAACTCAACTGATCGTATTAAGGGGATACGATCATAAGTAATAGATTCTGCTTGTAATACAAGAACTTTGCTGGAATTACACTATATTACAGTGTCCAAATTCCATTCATGTTAGTGAAGTGATCCATCGTGGTTGACTAAAATAACACCATATTTCCTTTAATTTTGAGACTTCAAAGGAGCCTAGCAGTAAGATCCATTTAGAACACTACATAGTATCCTAGACATGTCAAGTGCATACAAATCTATCTATATTTTAGTGAGTGGTGGTATTTTTGTTAAAACACTGAATCAACAAACTATTGCTAAACACATCCCAGCACTAACCACCCAACCACTGAGACGTTATAAACACTTCTTATCAGGGGAACTATTAGTTACTGACGAAATCTTAGGTAGAGAAGGCCATTTTGGCATCTGCTAACTTACGTCCTCTATGGCGCCGACTGGCGAGATATCCAACTATTTACCAAAGGACGAGTATACTGCGCTGCAGTTTCTTTCTATGCTATTATACAGCTGTGCGAAACGACCGTTAAAAGTGGAAGACATGAAGCAGTTACATGATCTTGATCATAAATCTCTTTGTAATATTGCTCGCATTTGGTGGAATCACCATGTGACCAATGTTGAGGTTAGGTGAAGGGTACTAGACAAGATAGGCAAGTTGATTGATGAGGTTGTGAACCTTCATCAGCTGAGGTTGCTTAGATACCTATTGAGCATATTGATCCACAGCCTTCGTCAACGTGCAATGTTGGAAGAATTCGGATTCGTTTGGAATAAAGCTCATGGTGGCCAGACCAAGACGCCCCACCAATCAATGAAGTATCTGACTGCTGGTCTGAGTCGTTACCACCTTGTGACTTTTTGACTTTATAACCTTGTATTGACCTGTTAGTGAGTGATAGATACATATTTTGTTGTAACTAAGGCTAAAATGTATAGCTCTTGAAAATGATTCGTCGAAGAAAATGATCTTTGCTGAATTGTCGTTTATCATTTTTTATCACCTTATGGGACTATTTTGATGGTTGAAAAATATTGTGAGTTAAGCTCAGTTAAGTAAAATTATCCGATCTGAACAAAAGATGATGCAACTAAATAAAATTGAAGGAATAAATATGTAAGGTTAATAAAGTACGATGTAATCAAATAACAGTCAAGAAGAGGTCAAGAAAGAAGCTGACCATAGCTCCTTTTTGAACAAATAAATCAGATTTGAGACGTTTAATGCCTATGGCTTCAAAAAACTTCAAGAGAATTGAGCTCATTTGTTTACCAATTATCTTGAAGGAATTGATGGCGTCTTCTTGATGTTCAGTGTCAATGAGATGTCGAGCAATTGCACTGTTCAAAGTGTTACTTCCCCTCAGTTTTAGGCCCTTAGGAATGTATTCAGAAAATCTAAGATACGCCCTTCTTTGGTGCGTATTCCGAAAGTAATCTATTACTCCATGGAGACGATGTCAGTTGTAACCAAATAACTAATTATTTTGAATTAGAAAATAATATCTATCCGTCAATATTGTGATTTATTAGTATAGTACTGTACTTTAGACCAATTCAAGGTCCTTAGTTTTATGAGTAACTGAAGTGTTTGATTTATTTCTGTCGGAGAATCAATAGATCTTTTCCGAGTCAAATTTCTTTGAAAGAAGTTCACAGAATGAATGTTTAATTATCAAGTCAACGATTTGTTTGTTTCATCAAAAGATTATTTCATTTCATTATCAAACTTACTATAAACAAATCATCAGTCAGTGTCGTCTGATTTGTTGATTGAAACTTGCAACAATTACAACTGTTTTTTATCTCTAAGATAAACTATGCAGCATAATTATCATTTTGACTATCTGAGATAACTGGTTTACAGACTTAGATTGATACTGGGTGATGATTGAGAGTGAAATGAAAATTTGGACCGCGGCCGGATTTCAGACCACCGGATTTCCAGGATAGTGCTCTATCAAACCAGAATACGAAACCCGACTCCTGACCAGATTTTTATTTCACTTCAACCACCAAGGGTTTTTGCCCGATTACAATGTGAATTCTTGACGCATTACTACCACTTGATCGTATTCACACTGGCTGCTCCCAGTCAGGATTTCCCACACGAGTCGAAATTTGAATGAATTAGAAAGGAGGGGCATCATATTGAATATCAGTTTGACTATCTGAGATAGCCGTGGTTTCGCAGACGGCTGGTAGTGTATCGGGTCGGAAACCAGGTGGTAGGTGGTTCGAATCCGGCAGCAGTCCAAATTTTCATTTTATCTTTCATGATCACCCAGTATAAACACAATTCTTTGAGACATGCGCACACCACCTATACAACAACAGTAATGTATATTAGAAAAAGCATAAAAACTGAAAACTCTTCGAAGATTAATTCTTGATAATTTTACATTCAATCTTTTATCTAATTTGTTTTCTTCTTCAAGAAGGTGAATTTCACTACAACGTGAACTCTTTTTTCTTCGTCCAGATTTTTACATTCTCTTCAGTATATATAAATACTTTGCCATTTCTACAACACAACAAATAGTTCAATAAAAGGTATTGACAAAAGTAGAGAAAATGTTTCGGTCTTATTGTGTGTGTACAATCTTTGTCTCTACCTTGGCATTAACTCATCATAGTCTTGGTGTGCTTCGTTCCTTTTTTGTTTTTTCAAAACCCCCCTTTTTGTTAGATTAATCTTTGAACTCTTGTGTCGTCATTATCATTTCATTCTTATATTTAATCGTTTCCGGTGTTATTTCATTAAATCGTCCTGATAATCGTAACTTTTAACAAAACATTTTCAACTTATTCCCCTTAACTTGTATCATTAATATTACCAGACCCTTTGATTGACTATTAATTCTACCACGTTTTCACCACTTTTTAGCCCACATGCATCTTATAAACGCTTTGAAATTCTTACGAAATCCTTTCTGTTATCATTCAACCTTCACGTTACTAACTAGGAACATTATTATTATAACCACCATTATTATCATTTCAACCTCCTATTATTCAAGTTAAACCTTCCTCCTGGATTAGAGTCTTTAAATATCATAGGGCTAGCAACCCTACCCCGGAAAACCAATCAAACCGCTAAAGAAACTTCAAAGCACAATGAAAACATACAAAATTAAAATAAACTTATTCCTGGCTGGAATCGGAGAGACAAAATGACGCCGGTTAGTGAGAGCCTTCGAGAAGCCAGTCGGCCGATGTATCACCCCTCTCTCGATGAGAGCGAAAGTAAGAATGCGGAAATGGAATGTCGGCACCATGCATCAACTTGGCCGGCAAGACTGCCAGATTGCAAAAGAGATGAGAAGGTATGGCATGGAAGTGCTTGGAATCTGCGAAAGTAGATGGGATGGAAGTGGACTCTCAAAACTGTCAACTGGAGAGTGCGTAATCTACTCCGATACTGTCACCCAGACGACAACCACGAGCACACTGTGTTTTGGAGTGGCAATCATGATGTCCACAACAGCATCGAAGGCTCTCATGCAATGGGAACCAATCTTCTCCACCATCAGGATCATGACTATAAGATTCAACTCAAAAGGAAGGAAAGTCACAAGTATACAATGCTACACTACGCACCTACAAATAATGCGGATCACGAGAAGAAGGAGGAATTCTATAGACATCTGCAATCGATAAAGGACAAGATCCCACTCCAGCTGGTGATATCAAATTTGTAATTGGTGAGGTGACATGAATGCCAGACTGTGAGTGGACAACACAGGAAGAGAACTAATCATGGATAGCGAAGGAAACCTAGTTAGGAAAGAGTAGAAACATAGGAAAGAGTGGGTTGACCACTTCAAGAAGCTCTTGAATCGACCACCACCACCACAACCACCACTCGGTGGTGGCATTCAGGACTTCTGCTTTTGTCGGCGGGCTTGTGTTCACTAGTAACTCTGTGGTTGCTGGTGGTATTTCTGGACGAGTTGTAGGTGATGGTGATGGTGGTGGTGGTGGTCGATTCAAGAGCTTCTTGAAGTGGTCAACCCACTATTTCCTAACTAGGTTTCCTTCGCTATCCTTCATTGCTTTCATCTGCGTTGATCTCTTCCCTCCCACATAGTAAACTGGTCATTTTATACAATGTTGTCAGGTCTCTACCACCTGCTGCAGCTTGTTCTGCTTCACTTGTCAGTGTCGTAAAAGTGTCTTTTGTCTTTCCACGCACTCTTCTTCACTTCTTTGTCCAGTGTTTTACAGGTTGTATTCAGTTCCTCTTTTCGTTGTATATCCCTGCACTGCACAGGTTCATCTTCTGCTTCACCATCATCATCTTCCTCTCCCTCCTCTACCAGCTTCCATTTTTCTGTGGAGATCCATTCCTTGTCTTGTTTCCTCTTCCTTCCTAATACAGCTATGCAGGTTTTCTTCCACATCCTTTCCAAAGAGTTCCAGTGTTCATCCACACAGGTTTCCTAAGGGATATTGCTTAGTTTTTCCCATTGTTTTTTCCTGATAACTGACGTGAAGATGTTCTTTGTAGTTTCGTCATTCAGTTCAGTTTCTGTTCTGGGTGTTGCACTTCAACTGTGGCTGTCTATCACCAGCTTCTGTGAAGGCTTTCAACTTGATTTGGAAGGTAGGTTCCTTGCACTAGATAGTGATTGATGTGAACCTACATCTGCTCCCCTTCTCGATCTTGTATCCAGTAGGCTGGCTGCTTCTCCACTTTCTTCACATTGAGATGAAGTCGATCCGATTTTTAGTGTGTCCTGGTGTCTGGTGAAATCAACGTCGCTCGCTTTGTGAATATACTTGTGTTTGTAAACACTGCCTCAGTCCAATCACCACATCGCTGAGTGTGCAGAAATCTGCAAACAGTTCTCCATTCACATCCATCATTTCACAGAGCGCCTCTCGACCCATGATTAGTTCTCTTCCTGTGTTGTCCACTCACAGTCTGGCATTCATGTCACCTCACCAATTACAAATTTGATATCACCAGCTGGAGTGGGATCTTGTCCTTTATCGATTGCAGATGTCTATAGAATTCCTCCTTCTTCTCGTGATCCGCATTATTTGTAGGTGCGTAGTGTAGCATTGTATACTTGTGACTTTCCTTCCTTTTGAGTTGAATCTTATAGTCATGATCCTGATGGTGGAGAAGATTGGTTCCCATTGCATGAGAGCCTTCGATGCTGTTGTGGACATCATGATTGCCACTCCAAAACACAGTGTGCTCGTGGTTGTCGTCTGGGTGACAGTATCGGAGTAGATTACGCACTCTCCAGTTGACAGTTTTGAGAGTCCACTTCCATCCCATCTACTTTCGCAGATTCCAAGCACTTCCATGCCATACCTTCTCATCTCTTTTGCAATCTGGCAGTCTGCCGGCCAAGTTGATGCATGGTGCCGACATTCCATTTCCGCATTCTTACTTTCGCTCTCATCGAGAGAGGGGTGATACATCGGCCGACTGGCTTCTCGAAGGCTCTCACTAACCGGCGTCATTTTGTCTCTCCGATTCCAGCCAGGAATAAGTTTATTTTAATTTTGTATGTTTTCATTGTGCTTTGAAGTTTCTTTAGCGGTTGGATTGGTTTTCCGGGGTAGGGTTGCTAGCCCTATGTCCAACCTTACCTCTTTACCCCGGACTTGGGACCGGCTACTAACTAGTGAACTGGTTAATCAGGTGAGGTTATGGAAATGAAAATACAGTAGTTTGAACGTACACTTTTTTCACACTTCATAATTTCATCTTCAATTCGTTGATGCATCAACTGAATTTTTGATTGAGTATTCACAAGTTCTTCATTGTGGTCTAAATTAGATAAATAACAATATCTGATTACTGATATTGTTCAGCTTATTAGTTTTCTGTGTATGGTGATCAAATACTTTCGAACTTGATGACTGACCACTTACAATGTGTACTACAATCATCGTGTTCTTCTTATCATTATTATCAATGTTCAATAGATAATTATGTTTTCTTTAGGTATTTAACAATTTTTATTCACTTTATTTTTGAAGGTTTGTGGAGAATCAATGATTTCTAATTGGTACGAACTGACACCAGTTGGAGTATCATTAGAAACCTAGGAGTACTGGACAACTGTTTCATCCTAGTATGGGACTCCTCAGTAGTACGCACTCATGACCCCATCCAACGTCAAACCCATAACCTTCAATTTTCATGGCAAACACAATATGATTAAATTTCAACCCAGTCGTACAATGTTAAAATGAATCAAAACCACTAGTATCTGAATAAATAAAGCTTTTGTATCCGTTGTTGATGACAAAAATATCTAATTAACAGATTCTGATTCATAAGTGAAGATGGAATATTGTTTGATTATCAGTAACCCTGAAATTTATACTGATTTTCGATCAACGCTATTTATAAGTATATCAATTTAATAAAAATGGGAGAGTTTAGGGATTAAGTCCCCCTGCTGAACTATCCGTGAACTCATTTGTTGCCAATAAACATTTTACTTAGGATATTATAGCTCTCAACAGTCCTCAAAATAGTTAAGGACTTCAAATCAAACCATTATCATTCAATGATTACTCAAATAAATCGACAATAAATATACAACAATCGGAACAAGTAAGAACCTAGCTACCAATCCCATTCAGTCATTTAACTCTTTCACCATATGAACACTTATCAATCCTCGAATTACTCACACTTTTGGACGGTCATAGTGGCAACGAAAATCTCAGCAAAAAGTAAAATCCAAGAGATCAACCCACATATTAACTCTAAAGTAAACATATTCACAACTATGCCATGCAACAGACTTCTCTAGTACTTCATCAAACAGTGAATATACCTCCTTGATAATGCTGAATACCTTAATATGAACAGTATGAAAAACCCATTGCAATTGGTCTGCAGTTTTTCAAATGTTTATTCCTTTGCACTACAATATCTAATTCTGATGGCGCAAATCTATATAACTGTGAACTGCAACACTTGAATAAATATCCACTTGGATTACATGATTGTGTGGAAACTTACAGACTCCCGAAATCATCAATGTGGGCTCCCTTGGTCACGTAGCTATAAACATAAGAATTCATGGTAAAATAGATGTTTATCTAGAGTAATGTGGCATTAGGCAGACGAGTCAAACATGTCGACTGCCTGTGATGGAAATTTGGAGTTTTGCACGACCTTGGTGCCACCACGGGTGAAAAGAAGGGTGACTGAAAACGGTCTTAACCTTAACACTCTGTGTATGCTGAAGAGTAGCAATTTCCTTTTCATTGCATAACTTGCCGTATATTCTGGTGTTTCTAATCGAATTTAATGACCTACCTTCCGTACCATTCAGGTCCCGTAAAATCTTGTAGATTATTCAACATATATCAATGTGATGATGCCTGTAAACTGGCTTCCCTTATGCTAAATTAATAATATGACAATAAAATATCTATTCATTTATTCATAACTAATCAAGTTTTCAGACTTCTACACCAATACCATGAGATTTAAAATCTAAGTTTGTTGAACAATATCTGAGTTGTAAATATGCATCGTCTTCATATTACACTTTGTCAAAACACCAAATTTCATACCCTTAAAGATTTCAACGTTGGAGCATGTGAAAAGGCAATTAAAGCATCAATAGGGTAAATTTATTTCAACCATGAAACATTTAACATAAAGTGAGAACTCTAATGCACTCATTGTCATGATTTGTTGATATACTTATAATTCCCCATTGTTGTACTGGATAGAAGTGTCTAACCTTCACTGGTATAAGGGCTCCTCTGCAGATACCTCGAACTGAAGGACTATTCACTGTCTTAATTTAATTGATTGCAGTTAAGAGTGGAATCTAGGATGTGCATTTCATCCCATTCGGGACTCGCCAACTGGACGTATCTGCACACCAGTGAGTGATATTTTTTCTGTTGGACTCGAACGAGAGTGCCAAAACATCAAGCATCAGATAGTTATCCACCAGGCCACTAAGATATGACAGCCAACTCTTCAGCAACAAGTTCCAGTTATCACTATTTGTTGGTACCAAGAAAATTATAACACTGACTATCCTGTCAATATAGTAGCATTTAAATAGGAGTCCATATGCCAACAAAGGTTGATCGATTAGATCCAGTATAGTGACGGGAAATTACAACTCTCAACAAATCATAATAATAACAACTGACATCGATTGCACAAGAAGCAAATCCTATGCTTTGCTAGTCTGATGAATAAGGCTTCCGCACTTGAAGCAGTGGGTACTCAACTTGACTACCAGTAGAAACACTACCACTAAATGGGGTACAGATACATGCAGCTGACGAGTCCTAGATGAGACGAAACATACGTCGGAGATTCCACTGGAAGTAGCCACCACTTGAATGACAACAGGAATGACTCGCTACTTACTAGTAGTAGGTAGTGCTTATCTCTGAATATGAAGATAAATTATCTTAAGTGTTCAAGTCAATTCTCGTGAAGCATTGAACAAATCTCGTTACAAGCTTTCGCGCAACTTTCTTCTTCTCAGTAAACTTTAAGGTCATTAAGAGCTAAGATATACAAGTAATTTTGACTTGGCTTTCTCCTCATACGAAAAATAATCTCTGAAGAGACTACCACGTGGATTTCAGCAAAATTACAAGTGTATAGATCTTTTTTCCTTACTACCCATTCAAGAACATGTGCTAATCGGTACATCTAGGAAATTGAGCATGGTGTAAAGAAGCCCACGCTGATTCAACTATATGCAGTTTGATAAGATATCATTATTAATCAGCTGCTTGACCATTGCATGTTTGTTAAAAATGTCGAAAAACATATTAGGACGATATTTTTGTCTGTCTAACGAAAACAAATTAGCTATGTTACATTCTCGACAGGGTACAGTACACACGCTTAGCAGCAGCTAACTTCGTGCGCAAGATCCACCGACTCCAACTACGACGAAATATAGAAGACTGAACTGGGTGGGAGAGTTTATTCCTCTGAGAAAAAAGTCGATTAACCCAAAATCCCAGCTGTGCATATGACATATGAGCTTGTCCACACTTTGAAACATTAACACAGTGAAAGCAAACAATAACCAATCAATGGATGACCTTGAGAATGAGATGGAAATCAGCTACTAGTCATAACGTAAAGATGGCGCAAAAATGACAATCTAAAAATGTTTAGTGTTTTTGCAAACCTGGAGCCTTTGAAGAAACTATTGGTGTGAGTGGACTAGATTTAAATCTGCTTGAGAAAAAAACAACTAGAAAACATCTCTAACTCTCCATGGTATGGCAGTGCTTTAGAGCAGTAGTATAATCCATTTGGGAGTTACTTAAATAGTAAGCTGTGTTCAGTGTGAGAATATTAGCAACTTTGCACAAGCAGTTTTCAACCCTCCAGATAGTTATCAGAATCAGAAAACACTACTCTGCTATGGTACCAAGGTATAATGAATTAATTCAATCCATTACTTGTTTTTTATGATTCATTATGTGATGTGGGTGCAATGACGAGTTGCTTACTTTCACTGTGATAACTTGCGCTTTGGTTCATGCATGATCTAAACCTCAATTAATTTAAACCACAGATCCAAAATCATGATGTATTTCTGTATGCATTTCCGGTGACTGAGACAACAGATTCTGACTACTGGACTCGTCTTTCCTCGGTTCTAGTTATTTATTCGTGTATCAACCCGTAAAAAGTAACTACTTATGAGTAATAAACTCAGATTACAGACACGGAGAACTCATAAAGTTTGCTAGAACTATGAGAATACAAAAGGTCATACATATAATTACCTGAAACATTTGTGACTTTTTCTTCCGACGAGTTTTGATCTACTCCCGAAAAACTGCCACTTAACATCTCTTCAGTAAGATCTCGGAAATTCTCCCCAGTCACTTCCAGATCCGATTTATCCGGCTGTACAGGCTCTTTACCGAGTTCCAGATCAGCCATAGTCTTAATAAAAAAAATAAAATCCTTGTCAGAAATAGATTAGATAATTTATAACAGAGTAATAAGATTTATTATAAGGTAAGTTAAAACAAAACTGAAATTAGCAGATTGGTTCAAAAATTATTCCGAGTCAACTAGCTTATTTTCTCGGAAATAGTATAAAAGTATCATGGAAATAAAATAAAATGCAGTTTCAGGTTTATGGGGATTTCATTTTTGGGGTTGTATTCATCACGGAGTGACATCAATCGTATAAACATTGAAAACCTGGGAGAACTGGACAGCTGTTTCGTCCTGGTATAGGACTTCTTAGCAGTATCCACCAACAAATTCACCATGGGCAGAACTTAGGATCTCCAGGTCTCACGGCAGGCGTAATAGCCACTCAGTCACTGGGTCACAGCTCAAAGATTCATACTTTCCTACTTCTGACAATCAGTAATACAGTGCGACTATCCACCAAAGATTTCCAACTGTCCAATGGTCTCCAAGGGTTCTCTGAATGATGTCACTTCGCGATGGATGCGACCTTGAAAAATAAAATCTTAACAGCCCATTAGATGAAGTAACTTCATAAGTTCTTTTTTAAAAGGATGACACATGGAAGTAAAGAAATACCACTGTATAGAAGGACAGTAAGGGATATGATGTCAATCATAATGTAAACAAACAGTAAGATATGGTTGTGCCTTTTATGAGTTGGATAAAAAGAAGGGTTGCATTTAAAAGTGAGAGTGCTAGCTTGTTTATTCAGGACACTGTTTAGCATAGTTTGAAATTCGGTCAGTCAGTCAGACAATAAGAAAGCAGAACCTGGCATTATTGCATAACAGCTGCAGTTGCTGCACATCCAGTTGGGATCGTCGAGATGTTAGGAATGGTTGAAAATCATTCACAATGGAGCAGATATACTCACGCTTCAACGTCTTTCAAAGCTGAAACACTCACTAACCATGATTTTCAAATTCATTCTCATCCCGTATGCCGTCGTCTACTTTGATAGCAGTATTTTCCTGTCCACCTGTTCTTTGAATGCTACTGTGAAGTGTATGGACTTGAACCGATGTACTTCATTGCAAGGTTCTACGTTGATTTTGTCTGACTGTCTATCTACTTCACTTCACACCAACACACCAAGATACAGAGTTATGAGATTGAAAACGGTGGAATGGAAACAATACAGTCAAAAGTTACAACGAGTTATAAGCAGGGGAGAAGTGATGGAAGCACAAACAACAGAATATGATGCACAACGGCTAGAAAGATGATGAGTGGAGGCACCGTCACTAGTGAGATTGACTGAAATATATTATCTAGAGTCCGAAACCATTAATCTCGGTTGATCCATGGGCCACAAAATAGAGGTTTACATTTGCCTACATGCTTCAGGTTAACAGCCACATGATTCAAAGGTTGGTAATAGTTTTACGTCAGCCATCTTTACCTTAATTCTAAATTAGTCTTCCTATAGCTGACACCGCGCGTTAGGTTAGACGGTGTCTAAATCTATGTAGCACATGTCTTAACTGCTTCAACTTATAAAGGTGTATAACCTGATCTACCTCTTTTGTCCAAGACTCTACAACTAGCTTCTATCTTCCTGCTGTGATGGCTTACCTATAGGTGGCAGATACTACAAAAGCAAAGGTAGACAAGCATTTGTAGACTTCTTATATCCTCCAACTTTATTAAACAAACTTCACAGCCATAAAGTGGGACATAGTACACAGCTGTGTAGCGTACTCAACCCTTACCAGGCGACTAGATCTTGCACCAGAGCCAGATGTAGTTCAAATGATATAAACTTCCGGTGTATTAATCTTTTTCGAAATCTTGCTTCAAAGTCGAAAATGTCAACTATTTCTGAGATTTATAAAATGACGATGCCTAAAGCACCCGTAGGGATATACGGAAATGATAAAGCTAGGTTATAACTTTTCAACGCAAAACTCTGGAACATCTTACTAAAATATGCCAGAAAGACAACAGTAATCAATAATGCTGACCCATTACATTACAAGCGTTACATAATATACAAGAGTTAAAGCTCAATAAAGGTTGCTTAAAAATAACTAGTTACGAATACAATATTAAATATTTTTTGAATTTTTTTAGTGGAGTTAGATATCCTAAGAATAAAATCTTTGAAGTTCGAAAGAGATGGTACCAAATCATCGTTTTATCACCATACAGAAACTTAAATTCTACTTAATATTCTTTATTTCAGACATTTAAACACTTTCTCATCATTTTATTGTTTCACGAAAACGGATACAAAAAACCTTATAGTCTATTTGATGGCTAGCAGTGGAATTCAGGATGTACGTCTCGTTTTATTAGAGACTCGTCAGCTGGATGTACCTGCACCCCAGTGAATGATGCTGTTCCCACTAAGACTGGAACCCAGTACTCATCATTTCAAACGCAAAAAATCATACAAACTTTCCGCCGGTCCATATTCAGTACTAAAAGTAATATGATTCAACTTAAGAGACGTGATATCAACCTATGAAGTCAATGACTACTTATGTCACTAGAGAAAGAAAGTATAGGCAACCTGCCTAAAGACCTGTAGACATTAGGAATCACCAGTTGGTTGGTGATATGACTCGGGTCGATCATAATGTTGAAGGTATAATCACTCTTTAAAAATTTTAACCATTTACTCATCTTATTTTCTGTATTCCTCCAGTTGTCATATCCCTTTTCTTATTTCAAATTTCACTACGTTTTCATCTTTGTGGTGTTACAAATTGTGGTAACATAAACGACTGGACCTGTACTGCAAGTAAAGATTGTCAAATAAAGAAGTTGGTGCGAAAAATTCAAATAATTTGGAGTAACTTTTTGTATGGTCTTCACTGGACGCATTTTTACCCTTTGAATAACCATAAAGAAAATGAAATGAGTAATAAGTCAGTATTCATTATAGTTCACATGTTTGCATCTTTCCTCTGGCAAATTAGAATAGCATATTTTCTTGAAGTCCTTTTGTTCATTTGCTGTTAAAATATACTTCTAACATCTTCTACAAACAAAAGAGGTACTGTGGAACACGACCAGCATATCCTTAAATCTACACAGAAAACAGAGAGATAGACAGTCAGACAAAGTCAACGTAGAACCCTGCAATAAAGTATATCGGTTCAAATCCATACACTTCACAGTAGCATTCAAAGAACAGGTGGATAGGAAAAGACCGATATCAAAGTAGATGAGGGTGTAAAGGATGAGAAAGAATTTGAAAACCACAGTTATTGTGTGTTTCAACTTTGAAAGATGTTGAAGCGTGAGTATATCTGCTCCATTATGAATAATTTTCAGCCATATCACTAGCAGTCCTCAATCGTTGATTCCTATCGTCTCAGGGACATCAGTCAGTTAGTTTACACAATAAATAAAAAGGTTCTATTGTAATAAAAGGAACTGTCTAACTGTATACACTGATCGATAAATACTTTTTTCCTACAAGTTAACTACCTAATTAATTAGATTTTGATCAATCGGTAATTAGATGCATTGAAATAGTATCACAGTTACATGAACGGGGCAAACAGTAATTACTCAAACGAGTTGCAATTCAATTCCTATTTCATGTAAAATCTAAACATCTAGTCAATAATAAATGAATGATGAATTTCAAAATGTAAATAACTCCAATTCTTGTTAGGTGTTTTGAAGAAATATTTAAAACTGATAAGTACATTATACATTATTCTACAATACCCTTAGGAGCTTTCCAGTTTGTATAAGATATATTTCTTTAGGGAGTTAAATTATACGTTCATTTCATCACAGTTAAAAACTAATGCGTAGGAAATTCAATGCTATACTGAGCTATCTAGTTTGGTATTCTATCTATGAAAAGATGAAATTCTAGGGGAAGGATCCGCATGACATCAAAAACTGAAGATAGTTTAGCACAGTTGTAATTTTAAGAGTAGACAATTTAGTCATCTTCTATCATAAAAGTTAATAAATCAAATACCAATTTTTATTTTGATACTCAACAATGATTGAAGATGAAAGTAAAATCTAGACTATGACAAAATTCAAACCATCAGCCTCTGGATCACTGGCCTAATGTTCTATCAACTGAGTCACAGGACTCAACTAACCTGACTTAACCTTAACTTCACTGGTTTGCTAATGTAGATCATGCTGAAACTCAGAATTTCAGCTCACCATCAATCATCATTAAATATGAATAATACAAGTCTGCCAAACCACACCTATCTCTCACATAGTCAAACTGATAATTTTTATTTTTATTTCATTTTGAGATTATTTTATGAGTAGGAGTTGATATTTCAAATTTATAATCATATTTATCGTAATTCACTAACTCGTATAGTTTGTGTCTCTCTGTTATCGTTTTATACTTGGTGCTTATTTCATTCTTTAAAGCTTTATTCAAAGCACTAAAACAAATTTAACGGCTTTAAATAATTGTACCTACGTTTTAAGATTTAACTTTCAGAAGAGAATCGTATACAGAAGAATGAACAATTTCTAATGAATTCGTATTCCTTGAAAATAAGATTTTTAGAAAATCGTAATAATCCAACTCACCTTTATGTAATCATCGTAACCTAATCCAACTTTTTTCAATGCCTTCAATAGTTCTGCATGATATAATGATGTTACAGAATTTTTCGTTAAACATATTGCAAATTCAGGTTGTACATCCATCTTCGAGTCAAATTCACTGAAGGTATCATTTAGTTCTTGTTCTAGATCTTTAATATTTCGAAGAAAACTATCGAATGCTGTTGATGTTTCAGTCAGTAAAATGTTTTTCGATGCCGAGTCAAATAACTGGAAACATACGTGAAAATGAAAAAAAAAACAACACTAATTTGTCTGCAAGAAATTTGATTTAATAAATTATGGCACTTTAAGGAAAGTCATGCTAAACAATGTGCGTGTAACTGTTTCAATATAATTTTGTAGTGTACTCTGGGGAGTCCATGATGTGCGTTTCGTCCTACTTCGGACTAGTCGGCTGGATGTATCTGAACTCCAGTGAGTGATGGTGTTCCCATAGGGGCTCGGACTCAGTGTCGATCGCTTCAAACTCTAAGGCGTTATCCACTTGGCCACTAGAACACGAAAACCACCTCTTATCCAATGAGTATTAGTTGTTGTTTATTGGTAATCATAGTCCTCTGTTGCTATACTAAGTTGAATTACGCGACCTTTGTTTCAGTGTGATGTTTTTTCCAAACGCTTAGTAGTACGTGAATGATTTAGAATCTAAAACTGCTTTGCACCCATTTTTATACTTGGGTTGACAAAGATAATCAGTAAAAATTTAATCGTTAGAACCCTACCATGAACACGATTTTCTGTACGATTCATTCTGTCAACTCAAACCATTTCAGAGTAGGCATCTACTGAAATGATAATTGATGAACCAAAAAGCAACAAACTAGAATAGCAGAATTCAGTATGAATTACAAAGTGATAAACTTTTTGAAACGTAGAAGAAAAGAATGGGGATCCCTTTTTCATGGGTTCCACAAAGTAGTTCCAGTCCTTCATTTAGAGAAACCGTACTTTTCTGGTTCATTGAAAAGTTGTCTAAAGAACCTTCGTTGTTTACCCGTCACTACAAATATTAAACGGAGATAGCCTATCATGTTAACATCGGTAAGCATTGATGTACGTTTTACTAACTAAGAGAAGATATCCATTAGTTTCTAATTAAGCTTAATAAATGAAAATATGCATTATCGTGTACATCCATAATATGGAGTTTCATTGATATACTCGTGGACAAATTAATTTTTAGCATCATGATATTTTAGTTGATTAAGTGCAAATATGACAACAATTTCAATGTTGGTTTGCACATTTAATAACTGTTTTATGAAGTAAATAATCAAAAGCTTGACGAATCTACTACTTAGTAAATTCTTATCTGTCAAAGTGTGCAGATTAACAGAAACCACAAAAGTATAAAAATTAAGGAGAACTATAACGATAACTTGAACAATATGAGTTCGTTTAGTAATAATTTAGGCGATATCACTTTCTAATCAAAGCTTAAGATTATATATAGGAATAATGGACAGCGGGTAGCAGTGGAATCCAGTATGCGCACTTCGTTCTATTCGGGACTCGTCAGCTGGATGTACCTGCCTCCCAGTGAGGGATGTTGTTCCAACGGGACTTGGACTCGGGTGCGATCGATTCAGACGCCAGAGCGTTACCCACTACACCACCGTGCCACGATAGCCATTTCTTGTGCAAAGGCTATAGTTTCAGTATAATTTATTGTGTTGTACCGTCGTTGATTGGATCTAATTGATCGGTCTCTATTGGCATATAGGCTCCTGTGCGGATGCCTCGATATTGCCTGTTTTTTTCTATATATAGTAGTGATGGACAGCGACGGCATAATACAAGAAATGATACTGAAACTATACCCGTCGCACAAGAAGTGACTACTGTGGCTAGGTGGTGTAGTGGATAGCGCTCTGGCGTTTGAATCGATCGCCCCCGAGTCCGAGTCCCGTTGGAACAACATCCCTCACTGGGAGGCAGGTTCATCCAGCTGACGAGTCCCGAATAGGACGAAATGCGCATACTGGATTCCACTGCTACCTACTGTCCATCATTACTAAATATAATAAAAAACACAAGCAATATCAAGGCATCCGCACAGGAGGCCACATGTAAATAGAGACCGATCAATTCGGTCCAATCAACGACGGTATAATACAAGCAATTATACTAAAGCTTAAAACTCTTCAGTATCCTGATGGTCAATAGTAATAAAAGATTCACCTTGAGTGTACAGTCATGCACAACATTCAAACGCGTGGTCAAATTTCATCTTCCATTTATGGTAAGATTTTTAGTTTGAATGGACTTTTCGCTAGGTAATATGCTCAGTTTGTTTTATGAACAGACAGAGAATGTAGAAACCATAAAGAAAACAGAACTATCATTCAAACCACGATTGAAATTCCTTGTGAACCATAAATTTGATAACCTGATTTGCTGAAAATAAGGCAACTTTTCTCTTCCATACCTGTATGATAGTAATGCAAAAGTTTTCTACCAAACTACTATTCATCTGCAAACGATAACTTTTTTGGATGACAAGATCAAGAAAAACACCCTACAGTTAAGATAAAAAGTACTGAGGAAATGATTGACTAGAAACCTATTAGATAAAACATGTCAAATCTTGTGTTTCGTTTAGTCATAATTACTACATTGGGGACCATATTCACCTTTACACAAACTGTTTAAATACAGTTTGGATGCCTAAAACTCTCAGGTTAATCAAAAAATAGTTTAATCGCCCATTAAAGGAAATTTCACCCATATATACAGCTAAGAAAATTCACCTTGGCTGAAAGCAATCCTTCTGTATCCATGCTGAAATCTGATAACTTATTATTATCCGGAATAATTATGTAAAAGCAAGATAGTAACTGGTTTGCAGACGACAGCAATCACTCCTTTCACTATTGGATATTTCTGTTTAGCTGGAATAGTATGTAAAAATGTTTCAGAAAAAAAATCCACTCTGATATAAAAAGCAAACTGAATTCATTTATAATAGTTACACATAAATAGTTTGAGGCTTATGGATATTTTATTTTGGAAGTAGTATTGATAATAGACTGACATCAAGTGAAGAATCACTGAAAACCTGGGAGCACTGGGTAATTGTTTCGTCCTAGTGTGGTACTCCTCAGCACAAAAGTACTCAGGATCTCCAGGTTTCTCAACATGTTTTGAGACAGATATCCCGAAATTTTAATGAGAAGCCGTGACCTGTGGGGTCAGCCAGTCAGAAGTGAAGCCGATGCCAAATTAAGATCTTGGTGGATAGTTCTGCTGTGTTGCGAATTTACAGAAGTAGGAAACCGTGGAAAATTGAACTGCGACCCCTTGGCTGATTGATTAACCGGTTCGATGGGAAACCTGGAGGTCGTAGGTTCAGTAACTAGTGGAGTTGAGGGTGGATATTGCTAAGGAGTCCCATGCTAGGAAGAAACAGGTATCCAGTGCTCTCCGATTCTCAGTGATTCTCCAACTGATATCGTTCTGTGATGAATACTACCATAAGTATATACATGATGCGTAAATGACCCGTGTTTTCATATTTTCATACGTATACCTATGTGCTTATTTCCTACTGAATGACTGTTCATAATATTCCTTAAACTTATGCGTGACCGTTAACAGTGGTTAATTAGGCATACAATACTACTTAGCATTAATTCTTCTATAATACATTTAGTGATCCAAAAAGGCATTTATGTTACCTTCAAACTAAGAAACCCCTACTTCAAGACTTTCACTTTGAAACTGAAGTGTTTCTAAAAGTCGGCACTTTTACAAAAAAAAATATACGCCCTATCGAATGGGAGGTAGGTGCAGATGCCTAACTGAAGACAACTTCATTGGTACTACCGGCTGATTTGAAAAAAGTAATAACGGAAACATTTAGTAACTTTTTTGTTCACATCCTGATCGAAACTAGTTTTATTTGCTCTTATACAGCACATTGGAGCAGCACTCCTATATCACTGCCGCCATGCCCTATTAGTTAAAGACCTAGCACTCTCCCAGAGGGATTTTATGCATTTACTCTGGCAACTTGCAACCTTTGGTAACAGTGACCACCCTGTAATGGTCTTCGAATTTACAGCAGGCGTATTACGTCAAGTCGAAGGGATGAGAATACTGTCCCTTGTGGATAAAACCCGAAATCTGCCATCTACTTCGATAGAAGCAAAAGTGTTGGAATCTTGTAGTCGCCGAAGTGAAGAAATAGTATAATAATACTGTAATATAATACATTCACAACATAACAGTATAATGATAATAACAATAGCATGATACAGGTCGGAGTATTACCGTAATTTACAGGTCCCAAGTGTACTTCAAAATCCTTCTTGTCTAAGTTGCAACTCGATAACCAAAAGGCTTTTGTTCTATGTGAACTGTAGATATGAAACTTCACCGTGGCATCTCCACGCTAATTGTTGAAGCAGGAATTGTGCAGTTAGTCACAGACAACAAAAACAAAACAGAGACTGTGAGCAGACATTTTGCCACAGTCTTTATCCAGCAACCTTCAATACACATGACTTCGACAGTCGAAGCATTAAGGCTAAAAAACTCTGTGGAAATCGATTGCAGTGGCATATTTAGAACAGCAAGTACTCTGTATATCAGAAAATCAACGCCTCTGGATGACTACACCCAAAGCTACTCAGTTAGCAAGTGCTCTACGTAGGTGGTCCATTAGCTACCATATTTAGACTATTTCTCAGTCAATGCATACTTAAAATATAAATAAAAGGATGTTACAGTCACACTTATTCACAAGACAGGCCGTACACTGCATACACCAAAACACGTTGAATGGCATGAATAGTACATAAGTTAAAATTCTAGAAAGAATAATCATGTGAACCGTCATATCTTACCTGCAAATCGATGATTTACTGTCGAGTGCACAGAACGGCTTTTGCAGACGTTTCTCATGCTTGACAAAGTTAGGTAAAATGTTAGGATTACAAAGATGCGCCTGGCAATATCTCTTATTTCAGACTGCTGTAAAAACTTAAAGGCTTCAGAATCACTGTTAATCTACTTACACAAATCAACAGTATAGAACAAAAAATAAGGATCAATTTTCATCTTTCCCCCTTAAGGGTTTTACAGACTAGAGTACTGTAAGACAGTCCTAGGTTTTGTGCTACATGTCTTGTACATACAGGAACTATAGAGTATCACTACAACCCATATAATTATTTACGCTAATGACACATCACTCTAGTGGGACCTAAAAGTTGAAGGTGATATGCACACACCTCAGACAGACTTTCACCTGGTGAGAGAAATAGTTTATGTCTACCAATGCAAGTAAATAACTAATTATGCACGTAGGTGTGTAGGCGGTGAAATTTATGATACGCATGAAACTACACTACCATCAGCATTGACCCACAGTGACCTAGGAATCATATTATGAATATTATTATTTGTCCCTTAGGTTCCTAGTGGAACAAAAGGCCTCAGTAACACGTCTCCATTCCACTCTCTTCTCTGCAGTATTTCCAAACGGACACTACCACTTCCAACAAGCTTTCATTTCTTCCTCACACCATCTCCCCTATATCATCCTCGCCTCGGACACTTAACTCCTCGCCCCCCCCCCTTTGGGTTCCACTCAATGGCCTGGCCTGACACGTGATGTCCCCAACCGGCCTTCTCACTGTATGCCCAATCCATCTCCACTTCCCTCTGCATATTTCTGGGGCGATGGGTTCTTGGTTGGCTCGTCGGCAGACCAGAGTTCCTTGTTGCCTATTTCTTTCTGACCGTCTGATCTACAGCATTGAGCATAGACAGCTGTTTATGAATGTCTGTAATTTGTTGAAAATGCTTTCCGTGACACGCCAAGTTTCTGAACCATCACATAGGAGCATTAACTTCACATTGGTATTGAAAATCCGGATCTTGTTCACGCTTGATGCTGAGTGCAGTAGATCTCCGCACTAATTTAAGATCACTGAAAGCCTGTCTTGCTTTTCCGATTCTGGCTTTGACGTCCTCATCTGTGCCACCACCTCCTGCAGTTGAAACCATGCTGCCTACACAGGTGAAAAAGACCACTTCCTTTACGTTTCTCCCATCCATCGTGATTGGTGCTTGTTGTTGATGCTGTTGTTGGTTGGGTATCTTCATCACCTCTGTCTTCTCTAAGTTCACTTAAAGTCCCGTTTTCCCGCCCTACCTATTCTGTCAACTTCTTGGTTTTACCTGCAGATCTTCGAGTTCATGCGATATTAGACACAAATCATCATAGGCGAAATCCAAATCTTCTAGGCTTTTTCCATCGGTCCAGAGTATGCCCGTCTTCTCGCTCCTCACGGTTTGCTCCATGATCCAGTCAACCACAATCAGGAAGATCATCAGTGATGGTAGACAGCCTTGTCTTACTCCTTCCTGTCTTCACTTCAAAGGCATCTCTGAACTTTCCATTGTGAATCACACTGCATGTAGCCTCATCATGTAGCATATAGCTGTTGAATGAGGTTGATAAAGGTTTGTGGTGGTGGTCGTGGTCGATTCAAGAGCTTCTTGAAGTGGTCAACCCACTCTTTCCTATGTTTCTACTCTTTCCTAACTAGGTTTCCTTCGCTATCCTTCATTGCTTTCATCTGCGTTGATCTCTTCCCTCCCACATAGTAACCTGGTCATTTTATACAATGTTGTCAGGTCTCTACCACCTGCTGCAGCTTGTTCTGCTTCACTTGTCAGTGTCGTAAAAGTGTCTTTTGTCTTTCCACGCACTCTTCTTCACTTCTTTGTCCAGTGTTTTACAGGTTGTATTCAGCTCCTCTTTTCGTTGTACATCCCTGCACTGCACAGGTTCATCTTCTGCTTCACCATCACCATCTTCCTCTCCCTCCTCCACCAGCTTCCATTTGTCCGTGGAGATCCATTCCTTGTCTTGTTTCCTCTTCCTTCCTAATACAGCTATGCAGGTTTTCTTCCACATCCTTTCCAAAGAGTTCCAGTGTTCATCCACACAGGTTTCCTCAGGATATTGCTTAGTTTTTCCCATTGTTTTTTCCTGATAACTGACGTGAAGATGTTCTTTGTAGTTTCGTCATTCAGTTCAGTTTCTGTTCTGGGTGTTGCACTTCAACTGTGGCTGTCTATCACCAGCTTCTGTGAAGGCTTTCAACTTGATTTGCAAGGTAGGTTTCTTGCACTAGATAGTGATTGATGTGAACCTACATCTGCTCCCCTTCTCGATCTTGTATCCAGTAGGCTGGCTGCTTCTCCACTTTCTTCACATTGAGATGAAGTCGATCCGATTTTTAGTGTGTCCTGGTGTCTGGTGAAATCAACGTCGCTCGCTTTGTAAATATACTTGTGTTTGTTAAAACTGCCTCAGTCCAATCACCACATCGCTGAATGCGCAGAAATCTGCAAACAGTTCTCCATTCACATCCATCATTTCACAGAGCGCCTCTCGACCCATGATTAGTTCTCTTCCTGTGTTGTCTACTCACAGTCTGGCATTCATGTCACCTCACTCATTACAAATTTGATATCACCAGCTGGAGTGGGATCTTGTCCTTTACCGATTGCAGATGTCTATAGAATTCCTCCTTCTTCTCGTGATACGCATTATTTGTAGGTGCGTAGTGTAGCATTGTACGCTTGTGACTTTCCTTCCTTTTGAGTTGAATCCTATAGTCATGATCCTGATGGTGGAGAAGATTGGTTCCCATTGCATGAGAGCCTTCGACACTGTTGTGGACATCATGATTGCCACTCCAAAACACAGTGTGCTCGTGGTTGTCGTTTGGGTGACAGTATCGGAGTAGATTACGCACTCTCC